TTTCTTTTAAATCATAAAAATGCAGTCATTACAGGATATTTAAATTTAGTTTAATACATTCCAAACAAAATAATTGGAACATTACTTTATGAAAAATGTAAACAAAAACAGAGGTTGAAGCAAGGAAGGGGTCCAAAATGGTGTCCTCCCTTGTGTTGTTTTAGAATTATGTGTATGATTTTTTTAATGTATACTTCATACAGGTTCTACAATAAGCAGGCTCCTGTTGTTTTAACTTGTGATGGTCAGCCGGGTTCGATCGCCGGTGGCCAGATAGCTCAGTTGGTAGAGCACCTGACAGGAATTTCATGGGGCCCGTGTTCGAATCCCATTCTGGTCTGCTGCAATTTCTCCTTTCACTTTACAAACCTAATCAGTCAAGGAGTTTACAAGACTATTCTGGATGAGTTGAGTGACTCGAATTTCTCGTCATTGTACTATGAGCACCTAGATCTTACGGAGCTGAGGGCCTGAGAACTGGTGAAGGGAAGTCTACATACTTGTAAATAAATACTTACCATCTTTTTTCACCTTTTCATTCAGATTGTTTATGTAAATTGTTTGGTTTGGTCTTGCATCCATTTTTACTGAAAGTACAGAAAAATCGATAAATTCAATCTCTTGTAAATGTGTGTAACAATTCTGCTCATTCATATTAAGATTCTATTTGGATAGCATATAATATTTAAGACCCCTAAATCGCTAAATACGGATTTTAACATGTTAAAACATCCTTAGGTTTTCTTCATAAACTAGCCAATTTCGGTAGTCTGAATGGCAGTGTCTATATACACGACCGTCGTGTATATAATTTCAAAGACTATTCGCACGACCGTCGTGTATATAATTTCAAAGACTATTCGCACGACCGTCGTGTATATAATTTCAAAGACTATTCGCACGACCGTCGTGAAAAACATTAAACATCCATTGTATTTATCTTTCCTTGTTTGAGTGCGAGACGGTTCGTCCCCACAGACCATTCGCACTGAGGTGTTTCGTCCCAATTAAGACAGTTCGCACGTACAACCAATTACTTGGTTACATGTATCCGATGTATGTAGTAATTGTCACTTGTTGACAGAAAATTGACTTTTGAACTTTGTTGTATTAATTAAACCATCTGTTTCAACCAATTAAGGATATGGATTCTGTGGAATAAATAACACGAACAAATGACCTGACGCACTGATTTAATTCAAACATCTCAGCTAGTGCCAGTGGTGCTGATATCTTGTATAATTGGGGAAATATTGAGAACAAATGATGCACAATCTAAATAAAATGAAAATTTCTCTAGATCTCTATATTAAGAAACAAGAGGCCCATGGGCCTTATAGGTCACCTGAGCATTATTCAACAACTTTCCAGTGATTGAATTTGTTTTAAGCCAGATGCTATAGCATTTACAATTTGGTAATCATAACTATACACTTAGCAGTTCCTTAGTTTGGTTACTTAATACCCATAGGCAGGGTAGGGGAACAAAAAATGCATTTCAACAAATCAGTAATATTCAGCAATAATCAGTAGTGCCGCTACCACACAGGAATCCTTGACTCTTAGGCTTTGATCCACACATTGCACAATTTTTGGAAAGGCATCCTTGCTTTTCAAAAAAATTTGATGAATACCAAGGAGCACATTTCAAACAATTCATTCATTTTCAGTATATAAGTACAGCCCCCCCCCCCCTCTATGGTACAACTGATCCTGGGGTCTTGAAATTTACAATTCTTGAAAATTGGGTCCCTTGCTCATAACTATATAGGTAGTTCATTTGCTTAAAACCTAGGAACAAAGAATAAAATATTCAAAGATTTAATGTTTTTTCACTATACATGTATAATCAATACAGCCCCCCCCCCCCCCCCCCCCCCCCCCCCCCCCCCCCCCCCCCCCCACCCCCCCCCCGCCCTAACACCAGAACCCCTGACTCTATAAAATTCACAATTTTGGTAGAGGCACTCTTGCTCATTATAACTATGTACTTAGTTAGTTTATTTAATATTCAGGAGCAGAGAAGAAGATTTTCAAAGAAATAATGCATTTTCACTATATAGTTATTTAGCCCCGCCCTAGCACAAGAACCCCTGACCCCAGGGCCATGAATTTCACAATTTTGATAGAGGACTCAATGCTGATTACAATCATGCAAACAGTTTGACTGCTTGATGTCCACGAGTAAAGAAGAAGATTTTTAAAGATTTCATTAATTTTAGTGGTTTTGGCCCCACCCCCAAGGCCCCAGGGGGGTAGGGATCATGAAATTCACAATTTTTGTTCCCCTTCACCCATACATACTTTGTGCCAAATTTGGTTGCAATTGATTCAGTGGTTGCAGAGAAGAAGCTGAAAATGTTCAAAAGTTTACGACCGATTGACGACGAACGACGAACGACGTACGACGAACGACGGACGACGACGGACAAAAACAGATAGCAATAGGTCACCTGAGTGACTCAGGTGACCTAATAAAATCGAGAATCTCTCTTTATATTTTGTATAAAAGAATGAAATCAATATATTTTCAAAGGGCACTAAAATTTAATTTTCAAAAAATAATTGTATGAAACCTGTTTTTATGATATGTTTCTTCCAAAAACAAACAAACAAACAAAATTTTATTAATAATTCTCTTTAAATTTGACTTCACAAGCAGAATCTCCAAATTATAGTTTAGCACCTTAATTACAAAACTGCATGAATCAGACGCTAAATAAACTTTATTATATCTGCACGTGGATAACTATTTTATACGTTTACTTAATTTTGATTAGTAGAAGGTGATTTTTTTGTTAAAACCGTAAAGGAAGTGGAAAGTTGCCTCTGTTCATCATATAAAGAACATAAATTGCCCTCGGTTATACCAACTCCGTTTTCTTAAACGAAATAATAAAAAAAAAAAAAACAAAAAAAAAAAAACAAAAAAACAGGAACGTGCTTCCAACGATGTCATGTTATTGTATGCTCACCAATATTACCTGATATGTGACATTATACAATGTTTTATTTTAGATTTTCCAAAATACATTGACCTTAATGGCAAAAACCGATAGAATATCAAAATATTTGAGCAGAGTGCAAATCAGGCACAATCTGAAAAAAGGCATAGGAAAACTATTATAATTTAAGATCACATAATTATTATAATAATGTGTGAAATACCCACATTACCATGATTACAGGGAAAAAAGACTTTTCATATACATGTACTATATAGATCTGCAGAAAATGAGAAATAAAAGAATTTGCAGAATAGATTTTGTTTTACTTGATTATATCGTGAATTTACAGTAGACGCCCGCTGGATTAGTTATGCTTCAATGCACCCATAAAATTGCACCATGTCAGCACACAGCACCTGTCAAACTGGTAAAAAATGTGACAAAAATTCACCTTCTTTGGTCGGCTCAATAAAATGACTGTTTGGACTGTTCAATAAAATAAATTCTTGGTTTGTAGAAATAATACATTTTCTTCTTGATTACTTGGCTACTTACCGACTTTTTTGCAAGCAAAAAGGGGGGGGGGGGGGGAGGAGGACTGGCGACTTTGCAAGGTCAAAAGTAGATCTATTCACACAATGTGATCATCAATGCTTGCTTATGTTGACAGATTGTTTTTTATTGAAAGGGGTGGTATAATAAATTCTTCTGTATGGGAAATATTTTTGATATAATATATTTGATTTTATTTATTTTCTGTCTCCATAACATATTCTTGAAAAAATCTCGATTAAATGAAACTAATTAAAACAAAACACACACACAAGAAAAGGGAAAATAAGAAGCACAGTATTTATAAATTGTTTTAATTTGTAGCCCATGCACGTAATTTAATACACTGACGGGTATAAAATAATAAAATGAAGGTATATTAGATCTGGAAGTAATTTTGGGGAACGTAAGTAAACTGTACTCTTTCAATAAAAATGGACATAAGGAATAATCAGATATTTTAAGTTTTTTTTTATTTTATTTAAGTTCAAAACTAAACAGCAAATTCTGAAAAATTAATAATGACGTCTTCGATACAAAGTTCGAAAGGTGCTGGTCTCGAGAACTTTGGGGACGAATTTAGGGTACACGACGATAAATGCGGTCGTGTACATATCTCGGGTAATGTGCAATTGCTATATGCAAGACGGTCGTGTAAATAGATTTTACTTAATATCTATGCACGACGGTCGTGTATATATCTCATTACTCTGCAATAGCTATTTGCACGACGGTCGTGTAAATAGACTTTCCATATAGTGTGCACGACGGTCGTGTATATATCATCGGCCAGTCTGAATCAGTAAATGCATTAGATTACAGCAGTTTAAAAACAAAACCTACGTGTAATATAATTTATGGCCAATTTAATTTTACTTCCGATGATACTTAACTTTCTAAATGTGTGTATATATACTGTATTATACACATTTACTTACAAATCTTATAGAAACGTTTTTCCCACGCCGGTAATTGGTGTCGAAGTATACCGTTAGATGGCGCTTGATATGCATTAAGTCGTACCGAGGTTTTTCGTAGCCTCTCAAATATTTACAGTTTTTCTTACTATAACTTTATCATTCATTTTTTAAGTTTTCCACTTAAACTGGTTCATAATTTTATAGAAGCCAGCATATCTAATCTAATATGTAACAAAATTCGTTTGAAAAAAAATTATTTAAAAAAATACCAGAAAATCTGAAACATAATAAAAGGTCATTTTATGCAAAGAACAAGACTTTTAGTTCAGTTTGTCCATGTACTGCAACATCTTAGAGTCGTATGAAATTGATTTCAATTTTTATAATCATAAAAATTCAGAATTATTGATATTTTGCTACATTGTCCCACCCATGATAATTTAATAAGCGCAAAATATCTCATTGAATTCAACAGCTGAATCCTAGTGCCTCATATAACCTGGCAAGATTGTGGTTTATACAAACTCATACTTGCATGAGGACCTTTTCATTTTCACACCACTGACAAAGTAAATCATATATTTTGTGTAACATCTTTTATTTAACACAAAACAACTACAATTTACAAATCGGGGTTGAAATACTGTATACAGAGTAATTTTCACTACAGTTGTAAATTCCTTTTTTTCACCACAGATTCAAACAACATTAAATAAATACCACTGTAGAGAAAATATCACACATCACTGAAAATCAATAATATGACAGATACATAGAATTCAACAATTTTAAAATGCAGAAATTAAAAAGTTTGTGCAGAAAATGCCAAAAAGAAAAAAAATAAGTTACAAGAAATGAAGAATAATTAAACTGTATACAGTAATTCAAGAATCATGTTTACAAATTTAATGCTACAACAGAAGATACATGAAGAGGATATGTATTCATGTAATAAAATTTTTGACAGAAAACAAACTGAAAGGTGGAATGGTTAGTGGTTTACTTAAAAAATAAAGATTTACAAGTAAATGAAATTGTTGGGTGAAAGTGTGCAATATCTTGATTAGTTCAATTGGTTCTTTTATCAAAATTTTACAAACTTTTCAAAGCAACTTTCTGCTGGCTGCAGCTCAAACTGAACATTTTTGGCTAAAGCATTAAGTCAACATTTACCTGATGTCAAACTACAAGGTCATAAAACAAACAAAAGACCAAACAAGTGTATACTGTAGATCACTAAATATTCGCGACACCTTATTTTCGTGAGATAGTCATTTACTCTTTATTAGCGAGACATAATTTTCACGAATTGTTGTTTTTCCTCTATATAATCGTAAGGAATACTTTTAAACGCGAGAGTGAAATTTTCGCGAGCTCATTGTCTCGCGTAATTACGCGAAAATTAAGTTCTCGCGAATAAAATGTGATTTACAGTACACAAAAATTTAACCATGATGATTTTAAGATACATAAACAATGAATAAAATATGGTTTATAAGCACTCCATTCTCTCACAGAAAATGTTGCTCCTAAGATTTTCCAAAAGAATCGTATTTATGAGAAGAATACAAACAATTCTACCTTAGCGCATGAGGCAAAACTTGCCAAAAATGAAATTACAACATGACTACCCGGGTAATTTGTAAAGAAATAGACAACATTTATCCCATACAGACATATATCAGAGTACAGCCACTGTACAGGTATTTATGAACCTTAAGAATTTTCTGTCAATTTGTGACTATACAATTTGACAATGCCACACAATGCACATAATGTAAATACAAGAAGTGTCATATCAGTTATCTTGACTAATGTATTTAATCATGGCTAGGGCAAGGAAAAGTTATTCCCTTTTCTAATGAAATAAAGCTCTTTTTTTTCTAACTGAGCAAAAACATAAAACTTAACAACAGGTTATATGGCAACAATTTAACAATCGATTTGTTGACTAGTTTTTATGCATTACGTTTTCTAGAAATATATCAATAATTCTATGTACCTCTATTTCCTAAAAGAAGACGAAAACTTATTTAGAAAACGGACATCTTTCAAAAATGCAGAAAAAATGATTTAAAAAGTACCCCAAGAGATAGCACAATAGAAAATGATGTTATGGGATTCAGTATTTTAATGTCATTTATCTGTGGCTAAAAGAAATACCTGTTTCATGTAAGTCAAAGACGTTATGGCATAATAAATAAATTGCTGACATTTTATATATAAAAATAACATGCTAATCTCATGTAATCCTAACACTAAACCTTGTAAGATATGGGCTACAATATACTGTGCTTAAAATTAATTACTACCAAATATCTCTGAAGAGACTGTACATGTAGCTCTACTGATTTGTAACAGTGGAAGTACAATGTATAAGTTAAGTATCCTATACTGCTTGTAAATTTTTACTAAGATTTATTGAAATTAGACTTGTGGAAGAAAGAGTACTTTGATAAAGATTTTCACAAATTATTCTTTTCTTTTTCCTGTTGCCTGAAACACATTCATAAAACTTTTAAACATATAAACAGAATTATAAGTCTCTTGATTGTTTTCAGATTATAGGAACATAATCTCATACGTATATGCAGGTAATATTGTGTCATCTTAATAATAAGATAGATAGAATTTGGAAAAAAATCAATATAGAGCAATTACAAATTTAGTTCAAAAATTGAAGTAAAAAAAGCATATCACATACATTTTCTTGATTGTAATCAATTGAGAGAGTGTCAAGTTTGAGTCAACTAGTATGGTATATGACATCTGTACAACAGAGTAACAAAGCACTAAAGCAGTACAATATTAATACATGTATTTATAACAATTGGTACATAATGTATGATGAAATATGAAATTAGAATTTTAAAAACTTTACAATTTACCTCCTGATGATTAAAATGAAATTTAAAGAATTATATGTCCTACTTATACTTATAAAAAAGTACCCAGTAATCTCAAATTTACACTGTTGCTGCTAAAATTACTTAAGAATTTGCCTTTTACTTCAAATCTTAACCATGCATATAAAAGGAGAATATTTAAATATACATGTACATGTACTAGTACTTAAACAATTAGTGAACATTATTGATGCTTTTCAAATAAACTAAAGTAAAATCAATTGACTTTTCAAAATTCAAAAATATCGTAAAAATAAATCTTAATTAAAAAATATTCATGCACTAAAATTGTGCTGTAACCACCCGTACTGAAGTGAGAGGTGTACATTGAAAAAAAAAGTCAGGAAGAAACCATATGCATAAAAATTTTTCTACCAAGAAATCATGACATCCATTAAAGGTCCAATTACGACTGACTAACAAAATACAGAAACTTTAAGGTACATGTACATTCACCTAACCTAGCTTTCACATTGTTCAAAAGGTTGAAAAAATAATTCCAGGTTGATTTCTAATTGCTCTTGCCAAACAGTGATAGAATGATGAGGAAAAGATAGACAATGTCAATGTAAATCTGGAGGGCTCCGTAGATGTATTCCTCAGGGTCGAGCTCGTGTTTCTTACCCCCCACAACCATCTGAGTGTCGTACACCAGGAACTACAAAATAAAACAACAATGCATCAATAAAATACTTCCAAGTCAGAATCACTTTAGATGTATTACTATACTGCAATTCAGAATCTTTTATTCCAAAATATTCCTTTAAGTATTCCTTTAATTCATATACATAAAACTTTGCATATTTCTATATTACATAAGAGAAAAAAATCTATCCAACATGCTCAAGAAAAATTTCTATTCATATACTGGTACTTGTATAGCTAAATGAACATGAAGAATTTGAACATGTAATACATATATGAAGGTGCATTAAAATCCCATTTAAAAGAAAAAGAAATATTTTGTATCGTAAGTGATAACATCAACTGTAATGTGAACTCCACTCAGTATATGAAGCGTCATGCACATCGAAGCCAACTTTTCCATTCACTTTCATTCAATGCATAGAGAGATTCAGAAAGAATAGTATGCACATATTTCAGCATACCGGTATTTAAATTCAGCATAAAGGCAGGTCATTCACAGTCTAGCATAATTGCAAATTACCATTTCACATTCATTTCAATGCATACTGCTTATAGTGATATTCCAGACAATATTAGAGCTTTTTCACATTCTTTACATTAATTATTTAAACCAAGCAGCACCAGTGTGAACAAGTTACTGAAAAGCTCATGCTGCTGTGTCAAGCAGGCATTCATTTTGAGTGTCAGATAATATTTCAAATTGATTTCATACTGACAAAATATTGTCAATGCTACCTATGTTTATGTAAGCATATATAAATTACTTCTTGGCTTTCAAAATGCCCTTATCACCTAACATAGTGGAATAAATTTTCACTAAAATGCTAAGTGTGTGTAGTTTTTTTCAATTTTTCAAGCATATACAACTATTCACTGCATATGCAGAAATATCTGCTGACAATATAATCATGATTTATAATGACTCTGCCATGTTGACAACATCATCACGATTCCACAAAGTATTGACTGAGCCATGTACATTGCACATTTAAATTTCCCTTCATTTTATTTTCCTTTCTAACACCGTCCTGTACAATCTATATGTGCCATGTACATGTACATTGCACAATGGTGAATTTCCCTTCATTTTATTTTCCTTTCTCACACCTGCAAAATCTATATTTCATTAAAATAAACCTATTATAAACATGCCAGACCCCGCATGTATCTGGGAGATGTTCCTATTTCCCAAAAAGTTTACAATAAAATATTTTGGCATTCTATATGGCTTTTAAACCAAATCTACTAATTGAAATAAATACTGTGGATTTTTCCTCAACACCTACTTGTAAAGAGTTGTGATGTACACAAAACATAACCTTAGCACCTAATCTAACACATGTACATGTACATGTATTTACTGACACAACACTTCAGATGAGAAAGAGGATAAATAAAGAGAGATTTGAAAGTAAAAACTTAAAATCAAACAACAGAAAAAAGAATTTTGCTTAAAAGGAAATAAAAACATTGAAAATACTGAACCAAACAACAATTTTGGTCACAAACTACTCTGGTTCTAAATAGCATGGATGTTTCTTCTCTATCAACTTTAAACAGCTTGCAGAATTTGAATTATTTGCCACCATTAACCTAATTATGGACATTTTAATATGTTTGAGCTATGAAAACAGGAGGAAAAGTTAATATGACTGCATTATAATCAATTTTTTGGCCTGAGAAACTATTAATTAATTTCTTTTGGCCTAATGTAAAATTGAAAATAAAAATTAATTGGCATTATTTGTAATAGCTTCTAATTCTTTCAAAATGAAAATTACATCTTGCTAAAAATAAAATACCAAATTTTAAGGATATATAGCTAAATTTGCATCTTGCTAAACTTTCCACTTATGCCATATTAAATTGATAGTATTCTTTTCAATGAATATTAATCTAGCACATGATTGTAAATGTTTACATATTAAGATTTTCCTTAAGACTTCAATTGTTCTACAATTCAAGACAATAGATATATATTAAATGTCATACATTTCAATACTAAGCAATTGCATTAATGGTTCTTTTGATGAGCTATTCTTTCACGCTTCCTATTTTTTTTTGTTTGACACCAATAAACCCAACCATAAATTGATACGAGAAGAAACAAACATCGCTATCTAGACCTTCAAGTAGGCCTAGGGCTACGAATACCGAAACTTTTTAAGGACCTAATTTTTCTTCCCGAAACAGGCCAAAATAATGAGGAAAAGGTAGACCACATCGAGGTAGAGCTGAACGGCTCCGTAAATGTGCTCCTCAGGGCTCAGTTCATGTTTCCTACCACCTACGATCATTTGGGTGTCGTAGACTAGAAACTAGATCAATACAAAGAAATACCAAGTCATGCAATGAAATAAAATGAAATCTACAGAAGAGGCACGATATTCACTGTGTTTGTAAATCAATTTTTCAATTTTTCAATCAAATAATTTTGGCAAATTTCAGTACCTTAGTTGAAATGTACAGTATGTTTTCTACAAAATGTTCTGACTCTCAATTTTTATGATTTTAAAAATGATAAGCTAAATTTTTCTTGGTTTCATAATACACAAGAATCACAAAATAAAATATATTTTATATTTTTGAATTACAATCTAACATAGTATACATGTATGTACTTCAAACAGATAATTCATTTTTGCACAGACACCAGATAAGTATATTCCAGTCAAAAACTATTTTTATTTTATTTTCATAGTTTTTAAAATTTGCTTGTATAGTTGTTAGCTTATTTGGGGGTTGTGGTTATAAAACAAATGCTACATAGCCATGCAAATGTTAGAACCCGCTCTGTAGGTTTAACTAGGTTAATAAGCTTCAATACTACGGTTCTATTCTACAGTCTTACCATAGAGAAAACCAGAGCGGCCAATCCTCCCCAGACACAGTCAAGGATCTGTAAAATATTAAAAACAGTCTCCTTATTACAAAATTGCAATATTAATGACATGCTTTAATTACACATTACATTATGTGATATGCCTTAATGAAATAGTAAAATCAAAACATTCTTGAATTCAATAAAGAAAGGAATATCATTTCATGTATTTTAAATATACACAAATATAAAGTTAACTTAGATTGAATTTGAATGTCTTATTTTGAGATCAAAATTAAGTTTATAAATGCTGTGGAATCATTTTAATTCATGGAGTCAGTGCATGTTCATAAGAAAGCCAAATTTTGTTGCTTTGTTGGAAAGTATAATTTTGTGGATGACACGTAAATAAAGAAGATTCAATGTTCATAGGGATAAGGGTACCCACAAAATCCATGAACATTGATGATTCTGAAGTATGGCTTAATATTCAAATTGTTCATTCAGTTTGTTGAATCAAAATGTTGCAATGATTTGAGAGAAAAGGCACATACGTAGCTGTATCCAACGGTGAAATAAACAATCATGACAGACCAGCCGAAAAAGAAGAGTACCATCACCAAGGCAAACAGTAATCCTGAGCACATGGTGAAGTCAATCTACAACGTCAAAAAATAAAATCATATACCCAATCATTCATCTGTGTTAAACATTTGATTTTTCAAGGCTTATAGTACTAATAATAATGATTATTATAAATAGGTAAATTTCTCTTTATCTCTGACATTGATGACACAAAGTTTTCCTTGAATTTGATGTCTATGGTTACCGACACATTGCATGAAAACTCTAATACAGCAATCTGATTAAAATTAGATCCTAAATCCACTCCTTTATTTTTTTACTGTCACTGCATGAGAAGCTAAACCAGTAGCACCAATACAGAAAAGAAAAGGAGCCAATCAAGAATCTGATTTTCATCAGATTGCCTAATATAGGATATATGCCCACTGCCTAGGAGCACCTTGTATAATACTTTTCCGCTTTTTCAATAAGTTACCTTTGTCTGAATGGCAAACAGGGAAATGGACAGACACACTGCGGCGGTGATGCCAGCTGCCACCAACACAGAATTTGTGGTGTAGAAACTGTTAAAAAGGATCCATTATATACATGTAAATAGATATACTGAAACATCAACATGATCAAGTAAACTATTCTTTTTATCTACAAAATATTTAGCTGCCACCAACACGAAATTTGTGGTGTAGAAGCTATCAGATGTACTTGTGTATCAAGAAAAATATTCTTTTTATTCAAAATATTTAGCTACAGATCCCTCGTTCCCCCTGGTTTAGAAAATTGACTTAGATAGATATATAGTTTAAAAGTAGTTGTATTAAGTTCAATATTCAATAAAACAAAAAATATATTAATTCACTAAACCTGCTGATTGTTCCAACCATCCATGACAGTGCAAGTGTCTGTAAATAAAAAAAAAATCAGAAAATGACTTATTAATAAACATTTGTTTTAACACAACTGTCCAATCAAATCAATGTAATATGTTGACTGCCAATACTAATGCTTAATATTACTGTACTCACAAAAATTGCCAGGCAGATGAAGTTTCCCGGAGACTTCCGTCTGACAGAGGGGATACAGACCAGTACAAAGTAGGTCACAAGGAAAACACCGCTGTCAAATATTTATTTAGAAATAAAATATTCTGTATATAGACCTCCTCTAAAGTATTATTTCTGTATTAGTAATTTTATATCATAAAATGCTGACAATAACATATGGATCTTTGCCTTGAATTCTGCCTTGCTTTCAAATAAACAAAAATATCTGTATGAAAACAAAAAATAATGCTTATGAAATCCTCCCTTAAACGAATTAGTATAATAAAGTACTGTAAATCACTTTTTACATGTTTTATTCATGAATACTTTATTTTGCTAAAATTACTTGAGTCTGTCTGCTTGCAAAATTTTTATTCTTGTGTATATTTGCATTATAAAGAATTAAATACATTGTACAACAGGAACCATAGCTTAAAAAAATTTTGTCTCGCTAATAAATACCAAACAGCTGACTAGTCAAAATAAGGTGTTGCGAAAATATAGTGATCTACAGTACTAGTTCAATGAGGAGAAATATGACTTACTATCCCAGATAATAAAACCAGGCTCCAGTTGTCCGCATCCAATTCCTAACTGGTGTCCTACAGGGAAAGAATATTTTTTTTTATCAGAACATCCTCTCATCTAGTTAAACTTTTACGCATAAATATTTATTCAGGTATTCATGTTTTGTAATGATCACCAAAAATTTTCCCTGTCAAGTCTTTGATAATTAACTTTCACTGGAATCAAAATCTCTTTTCTGAAATGTTTCTTATGGCTTGATTTGCTCTACTGTATGGATTACATACACATAAGAAAACAGAAAGGCAAATCCAAATGTCACCGTGAGCTGTAACATCAAGATCAAGTAGACCTGTAAAATAAAAATGAAAAAATCTCTCCTATCACAGATAACAAAATCAAATTAGCTGCATTACAGAAAATGCTGTTTTTCTTCTTTCGTGGCAACATAGCTTCAGAGATGCATGAATACTATACAGTTAAAAACTATTCTTCAATGTTCTTCTTTCATCACTTCATTTTTGCTGAGAACAGCCTACCTTTCGTATGAAGCCTCGCCTCACAGCCTTGTCACTAAAGGAACCACCCACAAACATTGGCTCTGGATCATGCACAGGCTCCACTGGTGCTCCATAACCTAAAATTAGGTTAAAATTGCAACTGTATTTAGGGGGGGGGTAAAGTTGAAGATTACAAAGTTTGACAATATTTTATGAGCAAAATTAATCACTGTTTATAGCAAATAAGTTATCAGCTGAAATAATACTTTTTCCATTTGTAAAAATTCTACTTGGATAAATTCTATATAAATCAAGTTACTCCAGATCAATTTTTTTTTAAAAAGAGACAAAAACCTTTGTTTTCAATTTTGAACACATCACATTAACTTTTACTTAGAAAATTCAAATAAAATCACCATAATTAGTTGGCTGGGAGTACCCTGGTGGATATCCACTTTGGGGTTGGGAATATCCTCCTGCCTGTGGGGGGTATCCCCCAGCCTGGGGAGGGTATCCCCCAGATTGGGGAGGATACCCTGGCTGTGTTGAGTACCCTTCTTGTTTGCCAGGATAACCTGAAAGATAAACATTACACTAATTATCTTAATAATAATGAGAAACATCCGAAAACAGATAACCATTATGTTTCCAAAAAAAATCGAGGACTCTATTATAAAGGATTTGTTTTATCATTTACACAAATGGAAAATGTCTCTATCAATTAATGCTTTCAAAAGATTTATATTTCCTGAATGGTATTTTTAAAAAAAGACTACAGCTGTTCTGGTTTGTACTTATAAAATTAACGAATAGAAAATTTGCAAGTTGAGTACAAAACCCCCTTTCTTAAATTTAAGAGGTGTGTCTTGCATTACCGGTGTATCATCTAATTGTCTCTTCCTGTTGTTGACTTGATAAAAGTGGCACATAAGTAAACTTGTCCATCACCAAAAAAGATGACAACAATAAAACTAAGATATCAGATTTAATCAATGCCTTCAACTATGAATACCTTAGTTGCTTGTCATTGTTATATAAGATTGCAAAAACTGTTACCTATTGAATGTGTTATGGTTCAAAAGATGCACTATCTTGTAACTCTTCATGGTTAAAGGGATTTATTAATGCTGAATTAACTTCCCATAAATAGTACATTTCCCATTTTGAAAATAATGTCCCCCCCCCTTCCCTCTTTAATTTCAGAAATTCCCATTATTAAACAAATTTCACATATATTTAAATTAAAAATAATTAAGTTCTAGATAGACTCGGACAGTCCAGATTAAATCTCAGAATGCAGATTTTTGCTACATTTAATTTTATTTAGAAACTTAAATGGGAGCATATCCTGGGACTCTCATTATATATTCACACCTAGTGTCCATCGTGTTAATGTCAAGCAATCGTTCTCATTTTCCGCCTTTTAAAAGAAAAAGGTGGTCAAATAAAATATCAAGATAAAGGTAATACATCGTCACAAACCACGGCCAAAATGTACGCTCCTCTCCCATCTGGCCGTGGTTGAACGAGGAGAGAATTCTTCGTAGCTCATTAAAATACTGACCAATGCGAGTAAAACATAGTCGGATGATGAACTTTATCGCGACCTTTCAATATCCAATCGCAGTATAGGAAATATTTCTTGTATAATGTTGACGTCAGTTGTTGATTTCGATTGCGATGGAAACAAAACTTGCCATTGACTGAATATGATGTCACAATAGAGAGGCGTAAATATTCAAGATAACGACACTTTTTGTGATCATGCAGCCACGGGTAGGAGAGAGCTATATATGCGGACTCCGGACCGTGGCTTGAGACGATGAAGGTAATATAAACAACAATAAACTAGTCCATGTAGTCTGAGATAATTCCCACTCCAATATTTTATCTAATGATACCAACCTGCTGATTGGTTATATGAAGGAGGAGGTGCTGATGGTGTTGACATTTTCCTAAAATGTCTGAAATAAATAAAAACTTGGGTTTAACTTTAATTGAGTATTTTGATGACTCTTGAAATTTTACAATAAATTAGCAGCAATTGCAATTCTTTAATTGCATACATTTCAACAATGTCTAAAATAATTAATCACTGTCATGAATAATTGGTGATTTCAATCTTAATTTATTGACTTTGAAAAGAGTAATATTCAGTAATATTCAGCTGATACAGATAGATCAGTCATATGATTAAGCATGCATTGCGCAATGTACATGTATCTATACATGAATTTCTACTTTGATAAGCTATTTCAAAAGAAACGAAGGAAACTTCTTTTTTAAAAAAATTATACATAAAAGCTTCACTTTACATGTATGAGATAATGATGTGTGGTTGATCCTTATGACTCTGTCATCCCAGACCCCAACCCATCCCTTCTACCTCCCTAGTAATCAATAACATCCTAAAAATTCCAAAGAGACTAGCAAAAAAGGCATGTACAATCTTTTTCCGGGTTTTACACATTTCATTGTTTTAATCAAAACTATTTGCTCATATCTTTGTGAGAGAAGCTTCCCTTATCTGAATGCAGATCAAATGTTATACAATATAAAATATATAACCTGTCACCAAGAATTAAGAAGTGTAGTTGTGAACGTGTTGACGCCTGTCACCCACTTCCATCAATAAAGTAATTTTACAGAGCATTTTATTTTCTATTGAAATATCGATCATTAGTATTTCGGTGAGTATACTGTAGGCTAGACGATTAGCTAATACCTGTTACTTTTCAGTGCAGTGTTTTCGTCGTTGATGTGTAAAATAATATTTACATTAGGATACCCAAATGAAAGTAATTGTGATTAAGAAAGTGAAAAATTACCTTTCGTTCTAGAAATCTGAAGAGTATTGATTAATATTTCCAAACGAGGAAGATAAATTCAGGAAAACAATTTATTCTAGACTATCTGTGATTACCAAAATAATGACGTCACGAATTAACCGGACCTCGATCCCGATGAAATTTTGATTACTAACACGTCGGTAACGAGTAGTAACAAATTGAAAAAGAATCTTAAGATTTAGTGTTAGCATCGTTAACTTACTATAAAAAAAAGACAGAAGTATTTCAAATATATTTTCAAATACAACTTTTTTTTCTCATGCATAAGTATTAACTGAAGATTAATGATTGTAATAAAATTTAATATGACTGACAGAATGGAATCTCAAACTCTTATTTAATATAAGAATTTCAAATGACAATTGATGAAGAAAAGAATATAAGCTCATATATATATGAATAATATTTATTAATCGAGCATCCAAAGATCCCTATTCCTTTTTGTCACCCTTATCAAGTTAATAAGTACTGAAATACTCGATACATTGGAAACGACATATCTCCGATGTTGATGAAAGCACCACAGATGCCATCGTCGCAAACCACGGCCAAAATGCACGATCCTCTCCCATTCTGGAGAGAGCTTTATGCGGACTCCGGACTGTGGCTTGAGACGATGCACAGATGCACCTTGGTATAATGACTGGATAACTAACTTCCTAACAAAAAGGACAATGAGAGTCCAGTTAGATGGGGAATACTCAGACGACACCAGCGTGGAATCCGGGGTACCGCAGGGAACAGTACTTGGACCCATACTTTTTCTCTGCCATATAAATGATCTCCCTGATGCAGTAAAATCTTCAGTTAGGCTCTTTGCCGGATTGCCTTTTGTACAGGGAAATTAAATCGTCCAAAGATCAAAACCTACTACAAAAGGAACTCGAAAAACTGGAACAGTGGGCATCTGACTGGGGTATGAGATTTAACGCAAAGAAATGCTATATACTAAGCATACGTAGAAAAATTAACAGCCAATACACCCTTGAGAACCACACCCTAGAACAAGTGGCATCAAATCCCTACTTAGGACTCCAAATACAAGAAGACCTGAAATGGAAAGAACATATAAACAACATCTCAAATAAAGCCAACTCCACCCTAGGCTTCCTAAGAAGGAACTTACAACACTGTCCAAGGGAATGTAGAAAGATTGCATATATATCACTAGTAAGATCTATAATGGAGTATGGAGCTGTCATCTGGGATCCATACACCAAACAAGAATCAACAAAATTAGAATCCATCCAAAGAAGAGGTGCGAGATTCATAACAAAAGATTATAAATCAAGGGAAGAGGGCACAATGACAAAGATGCTCAAAGATTTTGACCTTCCCTTACTACAAACCAGACACCAACAACAACGTCTAATCTTTTTTTACAAAGTGGTTGAGGGGCAGATACCAGCTATTAAATCAGACCAATATATTACATTCCAAAAACCGAAAAGAAACATCAGACCGAAAGTGTACGAGGACTATCAAGCGACAAATATTATATGTAATAGGATCAGGAATAACAGCCGTGCAGTTGAGATACTTGATACAAAGACAGACCAACTGAAGAACTCATTCTTTTACGAACAGCTATAGATTGGAACCATCTAGATAGAAAAAGTTCCGCGCCCCCAAGCTAGAAAGCTTTAAGTCAGCGCTGGAACATCTTCGCGACTAATGCGCTCTCTACCCGTCACGTCAAAGCCCAATGAGTCACTGTGACGTAACAATACAGATACAGATACAGATAATACCAGCAAATATGGTGTTAGAAGTTTCACACATGCACCCGATTGCCGTAGAGACGGATCCATTGAATTTGGCCCTTTTTGATCAACAAAAACAGGAAATGAGGAAATGTAAATACATTTTTTTGTCTCTATGTAGGTAAACTCAAATATAAATCACTGTATCATTAGACGTTGCAACATTTATTATTTCTTTTTCAAAAAGAATAATCACTATACGTGTATCTCGTTTATAACACAAATTAATACTACTTCCAAAAGACGGTGAAATAATTCCTTTTCCGAATAAAATTATGTGTGGTATCCACTTTTGTAATTTTTTAAGTATAGGAACCATATGACAAGAGTCTCAACTGCATTTCTAAATATAGACAAATGTACTAGTATTTTTGTATACGATAAAAGGTTACTGAACAGGAATCATGGCGGCTTCATCTACATTACATAAACTTCCTCTTCATTTAGCCGCAGAGAAAAATGACATTGAGAAGCTCGAGCAGATTTTACTCGATGGAGATTTTAATACAGTTAATCTCCAAGACCAGACGGGTAGGACAGCGCTTCACTGTCTTTTGGATTCTCCTGGCTTTACTGATTTGGACGAAGTAAAGAGAGGAATTCAGATCCTGTTAGACAACGGAGCGAAACAAACATGGAGAGACGCCCCTTCATACAGTGGTTCAGAACTACTTGGAATTTATTCCAGAAATTATTCGGTTTGTATTGACTCACGGCCAAAACTACTTGATGGGCACGCAGGATGAGAACGGATATTCAGTATTTCATTTGTTCATGTCAGAATTCAGTGACCTTGTTGTAAAAAGCAAAGGGTATATGGAACTTCTGCAAGAAAAGAATGAATTCCTTCAAAGTTTACTCCAAGGTGAAATTGCAAATTATAATTTTTCTGCACTTCTTGATCAAAAAGAGCGCAATGGATATTCTGCATTTCATACGTACATCGGAAATTCCGACTGCTCCCCAGAGTTAGTACAAATAATGATCAGTTGTGGAGCTGATGTAAACACATCTTCTAATTTAGGAATCACTCCCCTTATGGGGTCTGTGTTCAGACGGCGGAGGGATGTTGTAGAAATGCTGTTGAAGGCAGGTGCAAACCCGAATCAAACAGATATATTTGGTCAAAGTTGTACCTTTCGTGTTTTTACAAACGATTGTTTTGAATTGCTGAACCAGTTTGACGCCGATTTTCGCATTAAGGATAAGTTTGGAAGGACCCCGATCACAAATTGTGCACTCTACACGCCGGAAGATCTCCCCAACACAGGCATCGTCATCTCCAACGAGTTCTCTCATTATCCACCTTTATTTGAAAAGATTTTAGAAGCCGGGGTTAATATTAATGAGTTAGACAGACATGGTTCCTCTGCACTTCACTATGGTGCATGGTATGGAGATCCTACAATGGTTGGATCACTTTTGCAACATGGAGCAGATTTAAATATTCTAAACCACCATGACAACTCACCTTTGGATTTAGCAATGCACGTTGGAAATGATAACCTTTACAAATTTTTTGGTAAAACAGATAATGGGGAAATTCGACCCGAGTGTGAAACAAGATATTGCCGACTTATTATTAATGAAGCAGAAACAGATCATATGAAGACTGTGCTGGAGGATTATTTAGGAATTAAAGATGACCCAGTTTATCTTTTGACGTCACTTGTGAAATCTCCAAGGGTAGGGATGACGGAAAAAAGACCCGAATCAAGGCTTATCAAGTCGGAGGTAACAAACCTAATGCAAAGGATAGCGGATGTTGTTGGAAAATTGAATCCGCTTTTTTCTTGTAAAATTTATCCAACAGGCAGTTCGTCTGAAGGTACGAAAGTAGCAGATCCAGACGAATTTGATTTTGTGTTCTGCTTGGAAAACTTCTCAAAAAACTGTGTACCACATCAGGATGATGTTATTTTGAACAGTGGTTTTGCAAGTTTAAAGATAGATTCTAGTGAAAGCCTGGGGAAATTTGATTTATTTCTTGATGGAAAGATCCTTTCAGCAGAACGTGTTCGGAGTACTTTTCAAGATTTGGTTACTTCTGCCCTAAATACCGCGGGCACATGGACCTCCGAATTTTTATATTTCGACGGTCTCCTTGGGTTTCCCATGGATAAACCTGTGATCAAGCTGGAAATCCATTGGTTTGGCCCCTTAATAAAGCATATGATAATCAGTGTAGATATTGTTCCAGCATTTTTGCCAAAGAATTGGCGACCCGTGGAATTAAGCGAAAAACAACCCTTATTTTCTGTTGACGAACAGTATTTGCTTATTCTACATTCACCAGAAGGCTGTCAATGGGGCGATGAAGATGATGAACAATTAGTGAGAATTTCTAGCTGTCTGATGGATAAACATTATCTAAAAAGTCTTCCTCAAATCTGTACCGAAAGTTACGCGGCAGCCAAGATTCTGAAGAGCTCCAATTTTCCTCCTAGTGTTCAGTTTGACGACGACTCATCAGCGGAAGACTCCTCATCATTTGTCGATTCGGAAGAGTCCTCTCAGAAATCGGACGAAGAACAAAAAAACAGCCGAAAGAACAGAACTGGAAGAAGTAACAATTACAAAAGGGAATACAGTGGATACAACTTTCAAAATGTACAAGCATCAGTTGAATCACCACCTTTCGAAGATCCAGTAGAGGTATCAACATCCAGTGGACTATCCGACGATATCATTGAAAGATATGAAACACAGAGATCAAAAAGGAATCTAACTATGAATTGGCTCATGGAAATTGATGATACGTGCAAAGTTAGGAAGATATTTACCCCCAAAGACAAAAACTTGACACCGATTAACGGGGCTTCCTGCAAAACTTTACCGTCTGAAGTGAATACAGACAAATCTATTAATTGTAATTATCAGGGATTAGCGGAGAGTGCAGATTCTGAGGATAATGGTAGGGTGTTAGAGTCAATAAAGAAAAATACAGAAGAAGAACCAACAAACTCTTACAACGCAGTATCCACTCTAAGCTTAGATGATGGGAATGAAGCCAAACACGTTCCAAATAGTGAGGTAAATTCTGATGAAATGGAATCTATGTCATCTGACAATGTTGAATTGGAGGGTGGCGACATCGTTTCTGCATCTGATGAAATATCGAGCTACATGTTAAAAATGTGTTTATTCCATGTTTTACAAGAAGAGAAGAATAGAGATTGTGAGATTCCTCTGTACACTCTTCTGGAACTGACCATTAAAATTTACGAAAAGCTGTTAGCGTTTGCTGTAGAAGGTCGTCTACCTTCTTATTTTCTTCCTTTTATAGACGTGTTTACATACACCAATACACACATTAGAATAATTCCAGAGGAGGAATTAGACCTGGAGAGAAAACAACAGTGTAAACGGATTCAAACCTTTTGTAAAGTTATTTTGGGTATCTTAAAGCAAAATCCTAATGGCTATTAAGCTTAGTGAACGTTAACCCCATAAAAGATATTAATATTTATGGTTATTGATATTTACTGCCATAAAAGTAACCTATATCAATTATATACAGTACAACAAAAAAAAATATAGTTATTGATATATCGGTGTCTCTGTTGTTAAATAGGTGATTGTTCCTTGCAAAAATAACTAATGTTTTGATTGTAACTTTGCTGATAAAAAAAAACGAAATTTATAGAGGTAAACCATTGCATGAATGACTGTCTAAATTGTAAAGTTCAACTGCGTTCAGCGATTTTGTTTTGTAATAACTAATAAATGATTTATGTTATGTCCATTTTCTTATTTTTATGGTTTTGGTAACATTTTTGGGCGGTTTTTGGTGTAGGTTTCATTTGTAACTATAATGTTGTTGACCAAAATAGATGATTGTATCTTGTTCATGAAAACGATCAAAGAAAGATGCTACTGTTTATGAATTTGCCCTGGGGATTGCTCTGTCTTGGGTTATGAACAAAAAGGTGCAGGTTTCATTTGTTAAGGTGACCAAACTTGCATGGATGATACATCTAGGATAAACAGACTCCAAATAACAAAGAGGTATAAAGATGGAACACGTTGAAAGATAGAATTATAATATCAAATAAAAACTGCATTTATATTTTCTTCTTTTTTTATGACATTTTTCTATTACTTACTGCAAGGACCACAATCTTTTATATCTGACCTTCATTTTCAGCTAGTTTTTGGCAGGCAGTGTACCAAACTTAGTTCTGATGATATGAAATACAAATTATTTTCTAACATTTAGCACAAGAGATGCAAATCTGCTTCAGATGCTGGATTTTGATTACATTTTCATGAAGAAGAACTAGTTTAAATTTTTTAAGGTCTATTTCAAAGTATTTAAATGCTTAAATATTTTCATTTTTGGAAGTTTCACTTTTGGTTGGTTAATTGTGTGACTTTGCCTTACTAAAGACAACATTTTGAGGTTTGTCTTTAATGAATTTAAAACATCATTTCATATGATCATGGTCATGAAATTTAAAACACACTTATAAATGCAGCAAATCCACGTGCTAGGCCACACTTCTTGATTCGTCCCCCCTGCTGCTGGATTTTTTTTAAAATGATAAGTGGTACATCGACTATTTGTAATTTTATCTCGAAAAAGACATTGGAACTGTAAATATTACTTACTGAAGGAACGCAATGTGTTATAGAACTCAGATACGTTTCTAGCTATGGCGGACAGTGCACGAAGTTCTTTTGAAATGCAATTTATTTTCTAAAATTTACTAATCAAGCACCCACAAGATTAACATATATTTCAATATATCAATTGCTGATAAAACAGTCAACAGTACCAGGCTGATTTTGAGTTCCTTTTAATGACACAAAACTTGTTACGAAAATATAAAAAGATTTCAATGCTATCAACTTCACTCAATAAAAATATAACGACAGAAAATTCACTGGCTTCAATAAAAATATAACGACAGATTTCAATGCTATCAACTTCACCGGCTTAAAACACGTCCAATAAAAATATAACGACAGATTTCAATGCTATCAACTTCAATGGCTTAAAATACGTCCAATAAAAATATAACGACAGATTTCAATGCTATCAACTTCACGTCCAATAAAAATATAACGACAGATTTCAATGCTATCAACTTCACTGGCTTAAAACACGTCCAATAAAAATATAACGACAGATTTCAATGCTATCAACTTCACTGGCTTAAAACACGTCCAATAAAAATATAACGACAGATTTTTTAACATTTTTTCATGAATAATACATCATGAATCGACGTCAAATTAATTATATTTGATATTTCAATAAAACTTTTCCTGAAAAAAAATCATATTTGTTTTTTTCCTTGTGTAGAAGTATTTTATCCTGCATTTACTTTTTCCTGCCGAAAAAAAAACATGTTAGGTTTAAAATTTTCTAAGTTAAAAATATTACGCTTTAATTTTGATTAACTATATTAAAGTGTGATGCATATTATAATGGAATAAATGTACAACCATTTAAATCATAGTGTGTTTATTATGTTTTCATTTACATTGTTAATACTTACAATTTATTATTAGCTCTCGTGATATTTCATGATTACATCATAATTAATTATACATGTATATTGAAAGACGCATTGGCTATATATGGTTTAAAAAAAAATTTCATACTTTTAGCTTCTATGCACCTTTTTCCTTTATGAAATAAAATAACTCCCAATCGTGTTATCTTCCTTATAAAACTTTAATTATAACCCTCTGACGACAACCTTTAAAAGGAATCAATACACTAAATCTAAAAATAGATTAAAAGAATAAAGGAATAATGGCGACTTCGTCCGTAACCGAAAAACTTCCTCTTCATTCTGCCGCCAAAGAAAATGATCTCGTTAAACTCGAACAGCTTTTACTTGATGGGGATTCACATACAATTAATCTTCGGGATCAACACGGAAGAACATCTCTTCACTGTCTTTTGGATTCTCCTGCCTTTACTGATTTGGACGAAGTAAAGAGAGGAATTCAGATCCTTTTAGACAACGGAGCGGACATCAACATACAAAACAAACATGGAGAGACGCCCCTTCATACAGTGGTTCAGAACTATTTGAAATTTATTCCAGAAATCATTCGGTACGTATTGACTCACAGCCAAAGTTATGAAATGGAGGCACAGGATGAGGACGGATACTCGCTTTTTCATTTGTTCATGTCTGATTTCAATGACCATGCCAAAGAAAAGGAAAGATTCCATCAAATATTGAAAGAGAAAGAAGAATTTATTCAAGCCTTGCTTCGGGGAGAAATATTGAAATTTAATTCTTCTGCGCTTTTAAATCAAAAAGAACGCAATGGATATTCTGCATTTTACACATATATTGGAAATTCTACCTGTGCCACGGATACGGTACAATTAATGATTGATTGTGGTGCTGACGTAAACACTTCCTCTGAAATAGGAACCACGCCCCTTATGGAGTCAGTGCTGAGACGACGGACAGATGTTGTAGAAATTCTTCTGAAGGCAGGAGCAAACCCAAACCAAACAGATATATTCGGTCAAAGTTGTATTTTTCGTGTCTATACTAATGATTGTTTTGAATTGTTGAATCAATATGGCACCAATTTCAAAATAAAAGATAAATTTGGACGGAGCCCAATTACAAATGTCGAACTTTACATTTCAGAGGATCTACCTCATTCAAACATTGTCTTCTCCCAAAACTTTTCTAAATATCCTCCTTTATTTGAGAGGTTTCTTGAAGTTGGACTTAGTTCTAACGAAGTTGACAAGCATGGTTCCTCTCTTCTTCACTATGCTGCATGGCATAGAGATTCAAGAATGATCCAAGCTTTGATAGAGCATGGTGCGGATTTGAATATTTTGGATAATGATGGCAACAAACCTTTGGATTTAGCAAAACATGTGGGAAATGATAATGTTTATAACATACTTGGTGAAACAAATGAGGGGGGAGATCAAAAAAGCAATGAAGCAAAATATTGTAGATATATCATTAATGAAACTGAAACAAACAATATGAAGACTGTGCTAAATGAGTATTTAGGAATCAAGGATGATCCTGAATACTTAGTGACTTCACTTGTGAAATCTCCGAGATTAGGAATGACGGAAATAAGACCAGAAGTAAGACAAATTAAAGCAGAAGTAACATGCCTAATGCAAAAAATAGCGAGTGTTGTTGGAAGATTGAATTCACTTTTTTCCTGTAAAGTTTTACCAACAGGAAGTTCGTCTGAGGGTACAAAAGTAGCAGATCCAGACGAATTTGATTTTCTGTTCTGCTTGGAAGAATTTTCGAAACATTGCATTCCACATCAAGATGATGATATTTTGAATAGTGGGTTTGTAAGTTTAAAGATTCAGCAAGGAGAAGGCACGGAAAAATTTGAAACATTTCTTGATGAATCAACTCTTTCAGCAGAACTTGTTCGTGGAACCTTCCAAGATTTGGTTACTTCTGCTCTTAACACCCCAGAAATATGGAAATCCGAACACTTGTATTTCGATGGTCTTCTTGGGTATCCGATGGATAAACCAGTATTAAAGTTAGAACTCCATTGGTTTGGTCCCATTATGAAGCATGAAGCAGTCAACGTAGATATTGTCCCTGCTGTTCAGATAAAACATTGGAAGCCAATTGAATTAACTGACAAAAATGTTGTGTGTTCTGTTGAAGAACAGTATTTATTATTGTTCCATTCACCAGAACGTTGCCAATGGGGCGATAAAGACGATGAACAATTAGTGAGAATTTCTAGCTCTCTGATGGAAAAATGCTATCTAAAAAGTCTTCCCCAGATCTGTACTGAAAGTTATGCGACAGCTAAAATTTTAAAAAGCATTAATTTTTCACCCCAGGTTCAATTCAATGAGGAGATAAATATGGAACATATAGCAACACGGGAAATGAGATTGTTGCAACAGACACATTCAACTTCGGCAAGTGAATGTGTCCATAGAAAAGAGAAGAAAAATAATGAAGTTCCGACAAGTCACGTTGTACAGGACATTTCGAATTCTGAAGAGCAATCGGCGGGAATTGTTAATAAAACACAACCTTTTAAAAGTAACCCTATCATACCATGGATGATGGATATCGATGAAACTTATAAAGTACGAAAGTTATTTACTCCAAAGGAAAACGGTAAACCTAGGAACAAAGTATATTTGGATAAACAAATGGGCATGACATGTACAACGTCAGTTTTTGAAAATGACAAGCATAAATTAATTTATTTCAAACCCATTGAATGTGAGCATGATTTAAATAATCCAAATAATAGTTTTATGGAATCAGAATTGGGTGGACAGTCAACGTGCGGTCTCAACTCAGAACAAGACCGTGATTTAAAACCCGATTCAGATTTGCCTGATAAGAACTTTGACGAAAATGATGATAGCAATGGCAGCACTGAAGGCAAATCAAATGTTAGCATCAAAAGTACAAATGCAAAAACTGACAAAGATAGAAAGCGAAAGTTCTGAGGAGATGGAAGATGATTCTTCAGATGATACTGAGTTGGAAGGCGGTGATGTCGTATATGCGTCAGATGAAATTTCCAGCTACATGTTGAAAATGTGTTTATTTCATGTTGTACATGAAGAGAAAAACAAAAACGGTGATGTTCCGCCTTTTACTCTTTTGGAACTGACCATAAAGATTTACGAAAAGTTGCTGGCATTCGCTAAGGAGGGTCGTTTACCTTCCTATTTTCTTCCTTTTCTGGACGTTTTTACATACGTTAACACTCATATAAAAGTTCTACCAGACGAGGATTTAGAATCTCTAACCAAGCAACAGTGTTTACGAATCCAAGCCTTTTGCAGGGTTATTCTGGGAATACTGAAGCAAAATCTAAAAAGCGAAGTTTCATAAAGATAAAGATGCTGTGCAATTCTTTTTAAACAGACCATGATTTCCAGCTATAAATAATTATACATGTACATGTATTTTCTGTTGGGTACACAACCCTTTATGTGTGGATTATTTTTTCCAATGAGTTTTGAGAATTTTCATTTAATTTATTACATTATGCAAATGAAAATTATTAAAATTCCCTTTGTAGTGTACATTGTGTCAGGTCATAATGGTTCATTAACACTACCATATTGAAAACAGTCTTATGTTGTGTATCTGATTTTAATATTACAGTTTTGCATTCTATAAACTAAAATGGTGGTATTTTATTTCATCATAGTGTAAGATTTTATTTTTAGCCAGTATCTTAATATGCTTGCATGTTTAATGTGATATTATTTTTGATTAAATAACGTTTTTATAGAAAAAACATTCATTTATATTTTTCATCAAATGCCCTAGTCAAATAATTGACTTAATCTCATCCTTTCCATCTGCGTGCAGAACTGAAGTCAAGTGGTGAACAGAACATATTTTTTTAAAAAAGAATTTTTAATAATGCATTGCATTTTCCCATTCAATATTTTAATAAAAGATTATTTTATTAAAATATAGATAAATATAAAAATCCACATGTTGATCAATGGGAACAAGAAGGACAGTTTCTTGTCAAGAAAGTCTTTAAAAATTTGCATCATTAAAAATTCTTCAAATGAAAAAAGTAGAATAATTTTTGAAAAAAGACAGAGAAGGGGGTTAGCAAACAAACATATAACCCAAGGACACGATGATTTACAATTGTTTATAATTAATTCCAAAATTTCGTAAAACGTATTGCATATAGAAACACGGAATGGGGCTGATAACATAAATTTCACCTCGCAAGATGATGTCTGACTTAAGTGACCATGAAACAAAATATTAACATCAAAACTTTAAGGTAGGTATCACCAAGCAATTAGACTTTGAAATTCTTTTCAGACGCTTTTGATATCTTCTGTGTTGTTGAGAATACTTGAAACGTATGATCCAAACATGATTACCACATGCTAAGCTCAAAAAAGCTTCATGGCGTCAAGGGTCTTTCTTCTGGTTTAAAATATCGAAGAGCAACACCCCTCTTGATCAGTTGCCATATTGACTGCTTTCAATGTTTTTTTTATTTATACTTACAATACTTCTTCGGTTTTTGTAATTTGAGGTTAGCCCACTGGTTGGACGCTTCCGCGTCGTATTCGATCTAATTCAATCTAATTCCCATGTTGAAACGAGTACTCTTCATCATAAATATTCATAAATGAAGTATTATATAACCTTTAATATGAATATATCTCATTTTTTTTTTATAAATATCCTATATGATATATGAATATATCTTATTCTTTGTACAGCTAATCAAGATAATTGTTTTATTATTAACAAATATCTTCTATGGCAATTCAAAGCTTATTAAATCAGAATTATAACTGAAAGACCTCACTGCATTTCCATACGCGTCAAGTACTTTGATAACCCATGTGCATGATAAAGGTAAAGTGCACTTCAGCTGTTTATAGTCGAAGTTATCATCAAAGACTGTTTCACTGTATGCCATTTTCAGTTCACAGCTTGGGAAACCATGTCCGCTTTGTCTACCGTACATGAACTTCCTCTTCACTCCGCTGCAGAAGAAAATGACCTTGTTAAGCTCGAGCATCTCTTAATTAATGGAAATTCCTATGCGGTTAATCTCCGGGACAAACATATGGCAGGACGCCTCTCCACTGTCTTTTGAATGCCAACACCTTTTCTGATTTGGACGAAGCAAAGAGAGGAATTCAAATTCTTTTGGATGGCGGAGCGGATGTTAACATACAGAACAAACATGAAGAGACACCGCTTCATACAGTGGTTCAGAATTACTTGGAATTTATTCCGGAAATCATTCGATACTTATTAACTCACAGCAAAACTTACGTGATGGAAACACAGGATGAAGAAGGATTCTCATTATTTCACCTGTTCATGTCTGATTTCAATGACCATGTCAAAGAAAGCAAGGAATATCAAAAGCTTTTTCAGGAAAAGAATGATTTCATTAAAAGTTTGCTTCGTGGAAAAATTGTGAAATGTAACTTTTCTGCACTATTGAATCAAAAAGAACGCAAAGGATTATCAGCATTCCTTACATTTCTGGCGAATTCTGAATGCCCCACCGACACGGTACAATTAATGATCGACTGTGGAGCTGACGTAAACACTTCTACTGAAATAGGAACCACTCCCCTTATGGAGTCGGTTTTCAGACGGCGGAGGGATATCGTGGAAATTTTGTTGAAAGCAGGAGCAAACCCAAACCAAACAGATATATTCGGCCAAAGTTGTATTTTCCGTGTCTATACCAACGATTGTTTTGAATTGCTGAATCAATATGGTACAAATTTCTACATCAAAGATAAATTCGGAAGGTCCCCAATAACAAATGTTGCACTTTACACGCCGGAAGATTTACCTCAGTCAAACATTGTCCTTTCACAGAACTTTTCGAAATATTCACCATTGTTTGAAAAGTTTCTAGAAGTTGGAGTAAGTTGCAATGAAGTTGATAAGCATGGTTCATCCCTTCTTCATTATGGGGCATGGTATGGGGATTCCACAATGATCAAAACGCTAATACAACATGGTGCAGATTTAAATATGTTTGATTTTAATGGCTACTCGCCTTTGGATTTAGCAAAGTATGTTGGAAATGATACCATTTACAGTTTACTTGGTGGACTAGACGATGGAACTGACAATGAAACTAAGTATTGTAAATTCCTCATTAATGCAACTGAAAAAGATAATATGAAGACTGTGTTGAATGAATATTTAGGAATTAAGGATGATCCTGCTTATCTTTTGATGTCACTTGTGAAATCACCAAGATTGGGAATGACTGAAATAAGACCAGAACCAAGACATATCAAGTCAGAAGTCACAGGACTGATGCACAGGATAGCAGATGTCGTCGGAAGATTGGATCCGCTTTTTGTCTGTACAGTCTATCCAACAGGTAGTTCGTCTGAGGGTACAAAGGTTGCAGACCCAGACGAATTTGATTTTGTGTTTTATTTGAATATCTTTTCAAACCATTGTATACCGATTCAGGATGTTAACTGTGTGAACAGCGGATTTGCTAGTTTGAAAATTAAGTCAAATGAAGTTAAAGGGAAGTTCGAATCCTTTCTTGATGATACGACTTTCTCGGCAGATCTTATTAGGGGTACCTTTCAAGAACTAGTCACCTGTGCTCTTAACAACCCAGACATATGGACCTCTGATTATTTATGCTTTGAAGGTCTAGTTGACTATCCTTCGGATAAGCCAATTCTGAAGTTAGATATCGATTGGTACGGTCCCGTTATGAAACATATAATAGTCAGTGTTGATATTGTTCCTGCTGTTCAGATAAAGGATTGGAAGCCCGTGGAAATAAGTGATGATCAGCCAATGTGTTCTGTTGACGAAGAATATTTGCTTATCCTTCACTCACCAGAACGCTGCCCTTGGAGCAGTAAAAAAAGTGACCAGCTAGTAAGGATTTCAAGCTCTCTTATGGAGAAACAGCTTCTAAGGAACCTTCCTTATATTTGCACCGAAAGTTATGCAGCAGCCAAAATTTTAAAAAGTTTCAATTTTTGTCCAAAAATTCAGTTTAATGAGGAAATTATCATTGGATCGGATGGTTCCGTCGAAGTTGTGTTTGAGGAGTCACGATCAAGTGAGAAGTTAGAAAATGAGCAGTGGGATAAAGAGGAAGACAACGTGACAGAACGAAAAGAAGGCAATGAAGATATGAGATGCAATCAGACAACCAGTCAGTTTTTGCCCTCTCGAGACTCCGAGGGCAATTCAAAATCTGAAGATGTCACGAATAAAGCACAATCTTCTCAACACAGACCTGTTTTGCCCTGGGTGATGGATATTGATGATACTTATAACGTTAGAAAAATATTTACGCCAAAAGAGAGCGAGAAAATGAAGAACAAGACATATACAGATGAAAAAATGGGGATGACATATACAACATCAATTTGTGATAAAGACGGACACAAATTAATCTATTTTGAGCCCCTTCCATGTGAAGAGAATCCCAATGATTTGGGTGAAGGTAGTTCAAAATTGGATTGCAAAGAGGTGAATAGACAGCGAAAGGACAGTCCAAATTCAGAAATAGACTCTGAACAGAGATCTGAATCAGATTGTGCTGATGGGAACAACAGAGCTGAGTTCATCCACAGAAATGATAACGCTGAAGGCAATACAAAAGATAGCAAGAAAAGTAAAAATCACAATACCGAAGAGGACGTAGGTGGTGTGGAAGGTTCTGATGACTCGGAAGATGATTCTTCGGTTGATACTGAGTGGGAAGGTGGTGACGTCGTTTCTGCTTTCGATGAAATTTCCAGCTACATGTTGAAAATGTGTCTATTTCATGTTGTACATCAAGAGAAAAACAAAAATGGCGATGTTCCCCCTTTCACTCTTTTGGAACTGACCATAAAGATTTACGAGAAGTTACTGACGTTCGCCAAGGAGGGTCGTTTACCTTCTTATTTTCTTCCTTTCTTGGATGTTTTCACGTATGTTGATACTCATATAAAAGTTATTCCAGAAAAAGATTTAGAATCTGTGTCAAAGCAGAAATGTGAACGAATTCAAGCTTTCTGTAAGGTTATTTTGGGAATTTTGAAGCAAAATCAGTCAGGCGATGTTACCTCATCTGAGAAATTATAATAGAACTAGACAGTTGTGCGAAGAAAATGATATACATGTATACTAAAATGTTGATCGATACTTGATTTAAAATTTAAATAAACATGGTCAGTTTGTAGTCTTAGAATTCATATGAGAATGTTTCTTAATCAAATGTTAATTTGAAATGACTGTATGTGATGTACTGATATTATGCATATTTATTGTACATAAAATAGATGAAACACATTGTACTTTGTTGCATTTTCGAAGTTCAAGAACAAAAATACTTCTTATCACTTGAGACTTTTCAAGTTCTCTAATACAGTTTCATACTTGAATGGGGTCATTTACTTTATTTTTACTTTATCTGATTTCCGCTAAATACTATTGATTCTTGTGTAATTTGGGTCTTTACTTCGGTATGTTATGTTTTACTGTAATTTACACACCTCCTCTTTGGCTACGTATGTTTTGACAACAATAAAAAAACCAATTTGATTTTAAATATGAGTTGCATGTACTCCTCATTCTTAAATTGATACAAGTTACTAGTATTTGCTTACACTGCAAGGACATTTATTGTGCAATAGAAAGGGAGAGAATACTAGAGATCAAACTGGCATATCTAGATCTCACACTGAAGATATTAATCTAGGTTATACCAAGACAGGTCATTCAACCTCCCAAATCCTGGTCACGGCACCAAATGTTTCAGGAAGGAAAAAATACTATGGACCAGTCCAAGTTTGACCTGTCTCCCCATTGAATTCTTAACAGATGCGACACCAAATAAACTTCCTAATATACATATTGAAAGGCTGATTACATCAGGGCTTGAAAATAAAAGTCATACTGAGTTTGGGGGATCTTGGATGGTGTCTTTGCAACAAAGACATTTTATAAATGGAGAAATGTGGCGATCGACAGCCAAATGCGTCAATCTTGACACGTGTAGAATACAGTAAGTAAGGAATTTGGTGATTAGAAGGGTTTGATCTTTGGTGGCCAAGTAGTTCAAATCAACTTCCTCACTGGTAAATTACATGCATAAAAAAGTAAATTACAGAATGTGCTCCTGGAAGAATAGATTTTCGACCAATTGACAAAAAATCAACATTAAAATAATGGAACCATGGATTTATTGTTTGTTTGGTTTTTGTTTTTGTTTTTTTAATAATCAAATTTCTGCAATTTTTAACAAACAATGTATTTTCTCTAGAATGTCTGATGGAAACAAAACACTGTGCATTTTCTCACGTGAAAAGGGAATTATGTAGTTGAAAAATGTCTTCAATGCCAAGAATGAGTGCTTGCAATCTGTAAAATGTTATCGTTCTTACAAGAACTGAGTTTAGTTAACTCTATTACGTCTCTGGTTAAAGCGTATAAATACCGAGTATGTGTTAAGTCATCTAAAATTGTGATATCTTAGATATCTTTCTCCTGAAAAGGAGTTGATATCCCCTTTTAAAAATTGGAATATTGATTAATTTTAAATACCGTTAAATTTTGTTAAATGTGTCAATCTATATCATGAGTAATATAAATTAAGGGAACATACTAAAGACCTGATATTTTGACCTGATGAAAAAAAATCATATAAAATTATCAATTTAAAGATTATATTTCAAATATAAGTTTGAAAATTATTGATGAAAATATACTAAATTACACTTTTTCGGGAATAACACTGGCTTTTTAACAAGGAGTACTTACAACAGGTTGATGACCTGATATTATTGAATGACCTGATATTTTTAGCGAAGATCTGATATTTTTATAAATGACTTGTAAGGGATGGTTTTAAATGACCTGATTAATTAAATAATTCTTTTAGAAAAATTAAACATTTTAGAATTTTTTTTAGAACAAAATGTTTGCAGCAATTTATGAAAAAAAAAGGATTTTTGTAAAGACCTGATACATGTATTTTTTAATGACCTGATATTTTTGAATGACTTGACGGGTTTAAATGACCTGATTTATTATTATTACATATTTTCAAGAAATTTGAGGAAAATATAACAGATTTCAATGTTAAACTTTATAAAATTTGAAAATTTGCAGTAATTCCATTTCATTTAAGAATATCAAGTCTTTTAAAGTAAAAAGTATCAGGTCATTAAAAATTATCAGGTCATCAAGTTTTGTGAATATACCTTGATATATAGCAAAATAATCTACATATTATCAACTGAAAATGCTTTTAATATAGTTTCAGTTATTATCATCAATAATTTTCCCTAAAAAATATGAAATAGAAAGTTTAAATTGATAATTTAATATGATATTTTTTCATCAGGTCAAAATATCAGGTCTTTAGTATATCAGGTCTTTAGTATATTCCTAAATTTAAGATACATTGCGATTTGTCCTACATGCACTTTATACGTTAAAGTATGATTAGGTTGTTGAGTATTTTATTGGTAAAAGGAATATTTTGATAAAATAATTTTGAACTGGATAAGGCGAGCGTTGTTGACATAGGCATTTTGTTTTCGTATCGGGTTTGTTGTTTCTTTACATTAGTTGAATCGCGATCCCGACATTACATAAAATGTCAACAAAAAGTTTATCCAAGTTACTTAGGAGGAATTTTGCGGCAATAAGTCGTCATGGAATACGCTTGAGTTCAACTCAAGCTCAAAAAAAGAATAAAAATGAATGCTCAGGCGGCATATTCTCAGAGGAACATCAACAGCTGCGGGACTCGTTGAGAAAAGTAAGACCTAGTTCCTGAACGTTGCTCATGAACTTTGATCTGTATCATCGGATCCAGGAAAATCCCTATATTTAGCTATATATAGCTTAATTTACATGTATAGCTTTATTTACCTATATAATATAGCTTTATTTAGCTATTTTAGAATAAGTTTCTGTTTTATGAAAAGCAGACAAGGTAAGAAAAATAGGTAGATTTAGCTAAATAGCTAAATATAGTGATTTTCCCAGACCTGATCATTGTACCTTTTCTGTAAACGACAGGTGGTACTTAGATACATGTGTTTAAACTAATCAGGTGATGACTGTTTTGTGATATTTCATTTTTAGCTCACCTGAGCCAATTGCAAAGGCTCAAGTGAGCTTTTCTGATCACAATTTGTCCGTTGTCTGTCGTCGTTGTCGTAAACTTTTCACATTTTCATCTTCATCTCAAGAACCACTGGGCCAATTTCAACCAAACTTGCTACAAAGTATCCTTTGGTAAAGGGTATTCAAGTTTGTTCAAATGAAGGGCCACACCCTTTTCCAAGGGGAGATAATTATGAATTAGAGAAAAATGAATGGCATTTTTAAAAAATCTTCTTCTCAAGAACCACTGGGCCAGGAAAGATGAAACTCTTGTGGAATCATCCTCAGATAGTGTATATTCCAGTTTGTTCAAATCATGACCCCCGGGGGTAGGGAGGGGCAAAAATGGCCGATCATAGTTTTACATAGGTATATATAGGAAAAATCTTTAAAAATCTTCTTCTCAAGAACCACTGGGCCAGGAAAGATGAAACTCATGTGGAATCATCCTCAAATAGTGTAAATTCAAATTTGTTCAAATCATGACCCCGGGGGTAGGGATTAGCCAATATGGCCGATCAAAGTTTTATATAGGAATATATCTTTAAAAATCATCTTCTCAAGAACCATTGAGACAGGGAAGATGACACTTATGTGAAATTATTCTCAGGTAGTGTAGATTCAAGTCTGTACAAATCATGACCCCCGGGGCTAGGGTGGGGCCAAAATAGCCGACCAAAGTTTTACATTGGAATATATAGTAAAATCTTTTTAAATCTTCTTTTCAAGTACTTCAAAGCCATGATTAGTAATATTTATATGGAATCATCCTCAGGTAGTGTAGATTCTAGTTCGTTCAAATCATGATCCCCTGGGGAGTTAAAATTCAAGCCACCCCCTAACCTCAGTAAATTTCAGTTCTGATCTGATACGTGCTTTTTCCTAGCCGATGTGCTCAGGTGAGCGCTGTGGCCCATGGGCCTCTTGTGCTTATATTTATCTTAATTAATCTACCAATACCATGTGTTTAAAGCAAGACAAGCAAAGAGACAAAATCCTGACGATCATTAGAAGTGACATTTTTATTACTTGTCATTTGAGGACTTTCCCAATTCACATATAACAAGTTAATAAGGAAAAAACCGATAGTTTAAATAGTTTAAGTTTTTTGTTCAGATTTTAATTGATAATTAAAAGTTTGAAGTCAAATTTATTTGTCATTCAGTCAAGCTGGCTCATTCATCTGTAGTACTGCTTTCAGATTCATATAGATGGCATCGTGCATATATATATAGTCTTTCTCTGATCCTTGATGTTTACTGCACATTTTATATATATTGTTGATAAAAATTTGCAGATCATTGACAAAGAGATAAATCCACATGTTGATCAGTGGGAACAAGAAGGACAGTTTCCTGCTAAGAAAGTATTCAAAACTCTGGGAAATGCAGGTCTTCTTGGAGTTACAAAACCCACAGGTATGAAGTCCCTAAAAAAAAGGTATGACTTTTCAGGAAAGGATGTTTTTGTAACGTCAAGGTATAAACTGTAATGGTACTGACTAGAATACCCATAGCTGGGGCAACTTAACAGGTGCTATACTGTTGAGCTTGAGGTATGATCTTGTCCATGTCATCATCTTCCTCTAACATTTGGTGCATACTTGGATAAGACAGGAGAACCTTCCAGATATTAGACTGAAATATTGTTCAAAGGGTTAAGTACAATAAATGACGGAATAATCTAGTGGTCAGGTTGGCTTATTTGCTGGTAGCCAGATGTTGAGAATTGAGAAACTGGTAGCCTAGTACTAGGGCATTATCAGAAGATCATGGGTTTCATTCTTGTTCTTGGCATGATAAAAATAAAAGATCCCACACTGCTATGACTGTAAATGACTTGCATATAGGTCAAAATTTGTAGCACTGCACCTATAGCAGGTGCCGTCTTTTATCAGCTGATGAATTACATGTTTTAGTAAAGGTACAGTCTGGTCTGTTCAAACTACATTTCTGTGTCACTTGCAGAGCAGACAACATTTGATGATTTGGTCATTGTCTTGCTTGCCAGTTTGCACTATGGCTTTTGTAAAATACCACAATTACCAACCTGGTGACCTTTGAATTTTACCATTTACTACATTTTAAAATAGCATATTTTGGATGCTTAATAAGTAACCATAAGCCTAATAATGCTCTTGCTATGATGTTAAGGCACATCTTTCATCATTACAGAATATGGTGGCTTGGGACTGGATTACACCTACAGTATTGCTTTAGCAGAAGAGCTGGGTAATATTAACTGTGGAGGCGTTCCCATGGCAATAGGAGTTCAAACAGACATGTCAACACCTGCACTGGCAAAGTAATTCATGAAAATGTTTTAGAATTCTTTCTTGTTCTGCGAAACTGATTTTAAAAATATGATTAAATGGACTTGTATACATGTACCTACACACATTTATACATGTACAATAAAACTTGTTTACTCTTGTCACCACTGATTTAAAAGAAATCATTCAGATTAGACAAGATCCTGGATTAGACAACATTTTAAACAATTGAATCTACTAAAAGGAATTTGAAAGTTTAAAAGATTGTAATAGGCAGGATTTCAGAATACACAAATCTGGATTAGTCAGGTTTCACTGTACCTTTTTATGCCAGCCTATACATTCCTGCTTTACTTTCTTTTTTTTGCCAGGTTTGGCAGTGATAAGATGAAGAGAGAGTTCCTGGCTCCTTCCATAGCTGGTGATGTTGTGTCCTGTATTGGGGTCAGTGAGGTCGGGGGAGGATCTGATGTTGCCAGTAGGTGTTATTGAGCTGTATTTGATCAAGTGTCAGAAATATAATATATCCATGTAACATTTGTCAAGAAATGGGGGAGAGATATACAGTTATTTTTGGGGAGGGGGGTAAAGAATGAGGCTCTCATTCATTGATAGTTTGTTGTAACACTACCAGACTGAGTATTAACTTCAGCAGGGTGGCTCATAACTCATAACCATAGAAAGCCATAAATTTTAAATATAATACAATTCTAAAAATGACTGTTGTCTCTTGCTTTAGGTGTAAAAACCACAGCAGTGAAGAGTGGTGGAGATTACATCATCAATGGTGGGAAGATGTGGATAACCAATGGAGCCCAGGCGGATTGGATGTGTCTCCTTGCCAACACCAGTGAGGGGCCGGCACACAGGAATAAATCGCTCATCTGTCTTCCCATGAACTTACCAGGTATATACACATGTTGAAAACATTTTTAGTGAGAAATTTAAATGAACAAAGGGGTTAAGTTGTAAAATTGATCTTATCATAAGTTTTTTTTTATTTGTAATAGCTTCTTTGAGTTTTTTATGAAAATTCATCAAATTTTCATTAAATTTTCCAATTTTAAAAAATGTTTTCTTTTTTCCCAATTGCATAAAAATTCTTTCATTAATAGTTCCCATTTTTAAAAATGACTTTTCTTCAAATGTCTGTCAAATTTAAATGAACAAAGGGGTTAATTTGTAAACTCTAGATCTTATTTAATAAAGTTTTTTTGATTTTCAAAAACTCTTTGAATTTTATTTCCAAATTCATCAAATTTTCATTAAACAATTTTTCAAAATGCTTTTTTCCAATTGCCTAAAGTTTTTTCTAAATTTCAATATAAAATGGCACACAAAATGACTACACTAAGATACATAACTCTGGTTATTTGGTTTTTGATTTTTACATTTATGGTGTTGCCGTGGTTACTAAAAATAGAAATTTCTGTAAAATTCTTTGAAAATGCTACTCCTCCTACAGTTTTGGTCTGATTTCAAAATAACTTGGCACACAAGTAGACTACACTAAGACACATAATTCTGTGTATCTGTTTTTGATTTCGATAAAACGGTGTTGCCGTGGTTACTAAAAATAAAAATTTCTGTAAAATTCTTTGAAAATTCTACTCCTCCTACAGTTTTGGTCTGATTTCAAAATAACTTGGCACACAGGTAGACTACACTAAGACACATAAATCTGTGTATCGGTTTTTGATTTCATTGAACGGTGTTGCCGTGGTTACTAAAAATAGAAATCTCTGTGAATTTTTTTGAAAAGCTATGTGTTCCTACAGTTTGGGACTTCTGATTTCAATATTACTGGCACACAATATTTCTTAACTGAAGAGGTTCAATTTTATTCTATATATTGTATTGCAATTTATTTTTGATTTCAATTTTTTTATTCTATAGCTGTGCAACCCCTTGAGAATTTAATAAAAATCCACAAATCTCAGACAGAGGAAGGCTTTTGAAATTTCTTCAAAACAACTCCTCCTACATTTTGGCTGATTTCAAAATAACTTGGCACACAAGTGGAGAGCCTCAGGTCATAAGATACATAATTCTGGTATCTGTTTTTGTTCCAGTAAATGTGTTGCAGTTTACTAAAAATAGAAATTTCTGTAAAATTGTTTTCAATGAAAGACTGTTATACAGTATATTTGTGATTTCAATATAACTTGGCACATGGACACTAACTAACATAATTCTGTGTAACTGTTTTTGAGGTCGATGGAAAGTGTTGCAGTGGTTACTAAAAATAGAAATTTCTGTAAAATTCTTCAAAATGAGGTCCTTATACAGTTTTGGTGAGAGAATTTCAATATAATTTGCACACAATACACTAAGAAACATAATGTCTGTAATCTTTGGTACATATATATTTATTGTTCATGGATGTTAAAAATAAAAATGTGGTAAAATTTGAAAATTCTAGTCCTCCTACAGTTTTGTCTGATTTCAAAATAACTTGGCACACAGGTAGACTACACTAAGACACATAAATCTGTCTATCCGTTTTGATTTCTGAGACGAGTTTTGCCGTGGATCATTACTCAGAAACTATTGGAAGGATTTGTCTGAAAATTTGTACACATATTATTCACCATATGAAGTTGTGCACCTGATATTTTCATATAACTTGGCACATTATTATTTTGAATTTTACAGGTGTTTTTTCATTTTTATTTTGTGGTTTTGTCCGTGACCGTTTCTCAGAAACTATTGCAAGGATTAATCTGAAAATTTGTACACTTTTATTCACCATATGAAGGTGTGCACCTGGAATTTTCAACTCTTTTTGTTAATTTTTTTGCATTTTACAGGTTTTATTTTTTATTTTAATTGACTTGTTCATTTTGGGCTCATGTATAAGGTTTGAGATATAGAATCTAGAATATCTGTTCAAAAATACTACAGCTTAAAACTACTCATAAAAACTTACAAAAAAAAGAAACATCATCAAGTGTTAAAAACAGTTTTTACATTGCACAGAAAGATAATGTAATTTCATTTTTTTAGGAATAAACTGGACATGCATCCAGTTAAAGATAAATTAATGGGCATTTGGTGTTGGAAGTTGTTAAGGCATATCTCTTATCAAGCGTGTGTGTGTTATCTAATCTCCAGGGAATAAGGCACAAGAATTAAAGATCTCTCTTCTCTTATTCTCTTAATTGTAATTTATTGTCTGTCAAAGCACTTCATTACTGGATGACCAGCTCTTTATTTTCAAAATGCATTTCAAATTGATATATCAAGATTAATTTGATTTTGTATAATGGTTTTTTTTTTAACAATCAGTTTGCAGAGTGACATAACACATAATTGCAATTTATTTTTTTAATGCAGAAATAAAAAAAAATAAAATGAAAAAATAAAAAAAATTGTTACAATGGAATTACAATATATATGATGTTTCATTTGGTTGCACCTTTGTTTCATTCATTAAGAAACATGATGAGCAATTATATTTCACTGCAAATTTTTGTAAGTAAATTGTGAACAAGATCCATAAAGTATTTTTGAATTGGCACCTTCTCTGAAAAACCCAGCGGGGGGTATTTGTCCCTATTGGACAGTTCTAGTTTTGCAATATTTCATACTTTCAGATATCTGATTCTCAAATATTTTTCTTGCTCCTGTTGAGTTTAAGATAATGAGGTTTGACGGTATTCTCTGAAGTCAATGAAAGTAAAGAGTTCTCTTGTCCTTTATAAAATAAATATTTTAATTGAACTTAATTTACATGTACAGGACAATATGTTTGCTTTTTTGTAAATCTTTAATAAAATTAACCTCTATTAGTAAAATTATTCCACAAAACATGCTTTACTTTCACTTCTGTGATAAATTCTTAATCCTGTCATTTGTCTTGTAGAGATTTCCGGCTGTTGTCCATTGGAGGGGGAGCTGATGAGGTCATGCTGTCAATCATATGTAAATACATGAACACCCTGCCACTACCACCAAGCAAACAGAAGTGAAAATGGCTGATGAAGTCCAATATCGAAAATTTAACGTTAAAAAAAATATAGCCATATTTGCTAAAAAAAATCATGTGGCTTGTACTCAGATAACTTTCTACTATTAACACTATTCTGTCTAATGTGGATTTTTTTTATGAAAAGATATGTTTCTTAATACAGAGGTATTTCTTTAAACAGAGGTGTTTCAATTGCAATTTATAAAATTACATTTTCAATTTGTATTAATTGGTCAGAATTTCAATCTGTAAACAAACTTGATTTTGTTGCTTTAATTTATATATTTTTGTAATCGGTTTATTTTTGATTTAATGTTATTTTTTTATCATACCCTTTTTGATAGGAAGGGGGGGGGGGGTCTATAGTGATGACAATACTTGGGGGATCCTATCAGTTTTCTGCATCTCTTCCTGCCTTTGTGCTCTTATTTTCCATTTCAATTAATTGGACAGATTTTTAGGGTTTTCCATAGAAAATGAAATTAAATTTTTGCTATTAAACTGCAATGGGAGAATATGTTTGCCTTTTTTGTGATCTTTAATAAAATTACCTCTATCCAAATGTTCTAGTTCTTTCCAGAAACAGTTTCACATGTGATCACATATATACATACTATTCCAGATTATAACCCAGTGATTATTTTTCATTAGCAAGTGAAATTATTTTTAGTGTAATAAAATCATAACTTATTTATGTACATATAATTATCTTGTTAATATATTGCATTTATAGTAGGGAAAACGAATATTGATGAACTCGACTATCGAAAATTTAACGACCAAAAAAAAATTTCTTTATCGGTTAAAAAAATGTGTTTCATCAAAGTAATATTGAATTCAAGGCAATAAACTTATATTTGCCCACTTTTTATTTACAGAAAATATTTTCATATGTGAAAATTACAGGGAGGTATTTCTTTAAAGGAAATTTTCAAATCGATAATTTATAAAATACATTTTCAAAATACATGTAAATTGGGGTCAGTTTGAGAGTAATTAAACCGTGTTTTCTTTAATTTAGATTTATTTCATGCAATCATTGATCGTTTACACAAAATCTCATAATTAAAATTTATCCCAAGCTATCTATCTCTTTGTTTTTATAAGAGACACACTTTAATTGTTTACCTGTCAAAGGTCATTGACGGACACGTAGAAAATGGCTTCAATTATGGGGTACATGTACTACCGTTATGTAAAGAGAGGACAAATCAAGCTTTTGATATCCTGCATTTAGATAAAATGTGCAGCTAATATATCAATTTTGAAATTAGATACATTGGATACATGTTGATGTACATTTTTTATTGTACTACGTACTCCGTACGTGTTTACAATTCAGGAATTCGTTGTATAATGGTGATAGCGTAGGTTAAATATTGTAAACTAGTCTGTAAAAGACAAACAGTGAAGATGATATGAAAAAATAATTAAAATTAAACGAATATTCGACTATCGTTCGAATAAAGCATCCGACTATTCGACTAAGCTGCCCGAGTAAAATTGACATCCCTAATTTTAGACCTTAATTCTTATAAACAAACATAAAATGTGAATGTAAATAAATAAAAAGAAGAATTAGAACTACACTGATTCTGTATTGCTCATATAGATCTATAACTTGATATTTCACTCAATATATTGCTCATTGTTGGTGTTAATTTTTATATTTTTGTTATTGTATTTTTTTTTCATTGAATGAATATAAAATTAATACCAATTTATTTCAAGGACTTTAAATTAATCTTAATTCTAATTTTTAAGTTTTCTTTCTTGTGTAGTATGTCAATTATTTCATTAATGAAAGTTAAATCCAGTATAATTTCTAGACTGATCCAGTCCCATATATACATCAAAGGCATGGAAATATTTTTAAACAAGATGTGTTTGTGAAACACTATGCGCCCGGCGACAACATAGTTCAAAAAAACTATTTTTAGTAGATTTGTCACAGTCAAGGTCACAAGGTCGTTGACCTGGGTGTCATTTGAAAAAAAAACCTTATTAGTAGAGTATGCATACCATATATGAAGTCTCTATCTCTCATGGTTCAAAAGTTATGGCAAAAGTTCTAAGAAGCTATTTTTAGCATATAGGTCACAGTCAAGGTCACATGGTCATGACCTTGTTGTCATTATACCCCCTGCTTGAAAAGTGGGAGGGTATATAGTAATCGGTATTTCCGTCCGTCTGTCTGTTTTGAAAGAGCTTCATTTGTGGAGTACGCATACCAAATATGAAGTCTATCTTTCTTGGTTCAATAGTTATGGGGAAAGTTCTAAAAATCTATTTTTAGCATACATGTCACAGTCAAAGTCACAAGGTCATTGACCTTGGTGTCATTTGATTGATTAATGTTTTACGCCAAATCAGCAATATTTCAGCCATATATTGTGTCATTTGAAAGAGCTTCATTGGTGGAGTATGCATACCAAATATGAAGTATATCTTTCATGATTCAAAAGTTATGGCGAAGGTTAACGTGACAACAGACAAACATATAAATAGACAAACAGTGAAGCAGACAAACAAATGGGACAAAAACAATGTACGCCTCAGATTTATCGACCTGGGCGCATAAAAAAGAATCCTGAGTATGTTAATTCGTAACTCATACATTTTTCTCCAGTAAGAGTTACCTCCCACATACAAATTTTATTTGAAACTAGAGGTACTGTGAGCGATGAGCTCACTAAATGATACCCCCCGCCTCCCATATGGTTATAACTGGTGAAAAAGTCCATGTTTTCCTGTGGCCGGGAAACCCAAAATATGTGTCGGATCAAAAAGTAAAATAGGAGGTGCACAATGGCAATATGTAATAAAGATTCTGTGAAAGTTGCATCAAATTTCATTCAGTGGTATGAGAGGAGTTGCGGATAAGAGATGGCTACCCCAAAGGAATTAACGATTACTATATACCCTCCCGCTTTTCAAGCGGGGGGAATAATAATTTGGTATCATATACACTGTAATAACATTTCATTTTTCAATAAAAGTTACAGGAAGTTTAGTTGCACATAAAACCACTAGAGTTTATAAATTTTTCTAGAATTTATCTGTCCTAACTTCTACTTGCATGTGGGGCCAATACAGGAGATGCAAAAACACGCACCCTCCCCCCAAACACATTTGCACGCCTCTTTTATGAAATAATGAAGCCCCCTAACCACCAAAAAAAAAAGGAAAAAGGAAAAAACATAACACAGCTACATTCTTGTCTCTACGTTTGTAATGTTCCTTTTAATTGGTAAATAAACCACACTTCCCATATTCTGCATTTACAACTGAATTTATTTTACACATTTGATTCACATCTTTCTCGAGCCGTTTCATGCATGGCTTCGTATGAAGTTTCACGCACTTCTGCACAAGGTTCGTGTGACGTGTCATGAACACCAGCATTGTGTTCTGGCGGTTCATGAACTCCCACGCACGGTTCCTGTGACAAAAGTGTACTTCTCGTGTGTCTAGAACTGATTTCCGCCGTTTTGTATCTGTAACATTTAAAACAGTTTACAAACAAGAGTACTCGTCGACAATTTGGAGTAAATATAAAGTAAATAAAAGGATTGATAGTAAAATTCAGATGAAGTAGGATAAACGCTATTCGATATATCACGATATATGGTATCGATATTTCGATTTCCCGGGCTAATTTGATCGTATCGTGTATATTTATCGGTAACGTTGTCACGAGATACGACAAGACCACGGTTGAAACGATTTTGGACATTTTCTTGCGTGTAGCTTCTCTGTCATTTGTAATGGATTCCTTAAGAGCTCGCAGCTTTAGGAAATGGCAAACTAAAATGATGATAATCGGCACAAAGGTCACGATTATCGTGATAACAAAATTCACCATTTTTCCCAGCGATGGATTTTTGCTTAATTTAACAGAATAGATGTAGAAGGACGCAGGAATGGTACATAAAATCCATATGGAAAGAGATACACGAAAAACTGTTCTGTTTGTTTGTCTTGCCAAACTTGACAGAGGGTGGGCAATCATGAAGTACTGCTGTATGGACAGGAATGTCACGTGGGATGCTGACGAAAGAGCACTCGTTATGACCAAAATACTTAGTATAATAGCAACTACGTCACTTTCAGTTCCAGAAGGAATGAAAAACCAAGATGCACTAGAAATGTATTGAAAACCAAGTACAGCAAATCGGCCAATGCCAAAGCCGCAAATCCGAAGAAAATCGGTCTGTGGAGACGTCTGATGCGGAAAATAATTCCGAGCACTCCAGAATTGGCCAGTATTCCAACTAAGGACACACAAGTAGCAATAACTATAATGGGGGAACAAAAAAGAGCTTTGGAGCATACATTTTCTTCCTCCTTGTAAACTGAGGAATTATTTGACATGGTTAGGGTTTCTTGTATTCTACTGAAATAATTCATCCTATTATCTGTTAATGTTGTCATCAACTGATTAATTTTTGGAAACAGGTTGTCCACTTTTGCCGGAGGATATAATGGGATTGATAGTACACGTCATATTTCATTTGTCTCACCTGCTCGCTAATGTTACAGATTGAATCAATGATGAAATAAACGATATTAATTTGCCTAAGCGGTAAATGTTGAAGCTAGAACAATCATTTATTTGTTTTGTTTTCTGGATGCCCCACTGTTGGTAAACCCCTGGTTATCATCTCAATTAGAGAAGTCTGTACTGTAATGAATAAAAATCCCGTGAGTTGATGATGATGATGATAAAACAGTCAGAAATCCAGGGGGAAATCACCAAAAGAATATCAGTGCATGTTTTTTGGAAGGAGTGATGACTATATTGTTTTGTCATGCTTATTTTTTTTCTTTAGCTATATAGCTTATCTGTATTTATACAATTTTCATTTATTTTTTTTTTGCATACATTTCAAACTACTAGTACTTGACAATTAATCATGCATGCATCCAGAGAGGGGTCGAGGGGGTGGGTGGGTCCGGACCACCCTGGAATATGCAGAATTATTCAATTAAAACAACTAAAAGTGACCGTTGAAACCAGCACCAGTCCGCCCCCAAAGAAGACATGTACCCATTGATAAAATGGTATATGAAAAATCGTACGAAATTATGCTCAAGAAGTGAGCATCCCCCTTTTCTCACAAATTAGGTTTTTCAGAAGGATTTTTGTTGCTTGTCACGAAATTTGAAGTTGGATTTTATTAAACTAGGGTGGACCAGTTTGGTCACTTTTTTAATAATGTATTTTTAACAAATATTTTGGGAATGCAAAAATGGAAATACACACTGATGCAATAAAAGCAGAGAGAGAGAGAGAGAGAGAGAGAGGGAGGGGGAGAGGAGAGAGAGATAAAACAGAGAAGTCAATTGTTTATTGATACAGGCACGTAGCAACAAGGGGGGGGGGGCTGCCCCCCCCCAACTTTTTTTTCCCAACATTACCATTATTGAAAATGTCCATTGGAAGGTTGGTTGCCCCCCCCCCCCACTTCATACCACAGTACAGTGATATCAAGAAAATGTAGTAATATATGCTCAAAAAATTGGATGTGAAAGGAAGTTGGCCTTGAAAAAAGTTGGCCACTACACCCCCCCCCCCCCCCCACACACACACACACACAATAGATTTTCGAGTTTGGGCAGTTACCTTTTTCTTTTTTTCTTTTTTTTAGCTTGTTAGCTTTTACAGGTAAGTAAAAAAAAATTTCTCTGGTTGCCCCCCCCCCCAACTTTCAAAAACGATGTTACGTGCCTGTGATAACTTTGTATCTACAAAACAAATCGGTCAAAACAAATTTATCGGAGTCTGTTTTAATATTAGAAACAAATTAAGATTGCTAAAGTTTAATATTTTGTATTAACAACACATGTCTGTATAATATGTGTTTTAGTACCAATTGAAATTGAAATGAATTGATAACCTTGTTCACAAAGAAAGAACAAAGTATTTCCCTAAAGGACAGGAGGTCTACACAAACTTATTTAAACTTCTTGACTGTCCGTACCCAAATAAAACTATTTAATGGGAGGGAATTTACACTATCTGATCTTTTTGTAGCGTGAAGCGGTCACCCATTCAAGGGTTAAACAGGCTCGCCGTTGCTTAACTTGTCTGAAATAGAGGGAGAATCTACCGCATCACTAGAAAGGCTAGCTCACTAGCGAGGCAGTATAAGTTCCCTATATACTGTCTAGTCCATTTTGGACAATTTGTTCCCCATATAAATTAGCTACTACTATTATTCTTCCTCCCGGAGGGGGTGGGGTTAAATTAATTTTTAAAGTAATTTTTAACATATAAATTCAATAAAAGTAAAAAAACAAACTTTGGAAAGTATGCATGTGATTGTGCGTAATATATGTACATGCATTTTAATACCTCACCTTTGTATGAAATTAAGAATAACCAGGCAAGCTAAAAATTCATGATATGATCGGGCTCGAGAATCAGGAAATCTATTTAACCTTTGACCTTAGTGGCGTTATCGTTGATAACCAACCAACGTGCCAAAGATGTCAAAAAGTGGCGAAAGCGGTCCAAAGAAAGGAACTGAACCAAAGAGTAATAATACGGTTGGAATAGAAAGCCAAAATGTAAACGGAAGAGTGCCGATGAAGGCGGAAACGCCCACTATACCGAAACGCCGGTGAGTGCAATTCCTTGCTTACGAAACCTAGGCCTTTTCATATCCGGCCGCAAAACTAAGGGACTATCTTATATGGCACGCCAAATTCACAAAAATGAGCTAAACATAGTTTCACAGTCGATAAACTGGGTTCATCGGTTGTAAACTATAGTTTACGGACTGTAAACTATTGTTAACAACGTTAATCTATATTTTACATCTGTAAACCATAGTTAACGCGATAATCTATGTTTCACAACCGTAAACTATACTTAACACCGAAAACAATCATTTGCGATCGCAAAACATAGATTATCTGATAAATATAGTTTCACGATTTGTAAACTATAGTTTACAAACCGTTAACTATAGTTAATGATCTGATAAATATAGTTTCACAATTTGTGAAACTATGATTAACAACTCTTAACTATAGTTTACGATTGTAAACCATAGTTTACAAACGTGAATCTATGTTTATCAACAAAATCTATTGTTAACGCTTTATTCAGACAGATAAACTTAGATTAGCATTCGTAAACTATAGTTAACGACCATTAAATATAGTTTTACAGATGAAAACTATACTTAACGAATCGTTAACTATAGTTTACGGTTTGTAAACTATAGTTTACAGTCGATAAACCTAGTTTATCAATTGTGAAACTAGGTTTAGCTCATTTTTGTGAATTTGGCATGCCATAGTCTTATTTAGTGACATGCATTAACTATGCTGTCATTGAAATGCTGCCTAAAGGTTTCACAGGAGATACATACATTTGTAAACTGTCATGCTTAATTAGTCATAGAAGTTCAATGTTAAGTTGTAAGCACCAATAAAAAAAATCCCACGATTAACCAGGTACGCAGATCTTTAGAGTTTTAATAGCAGGCACAAGGGTTCAAAAATGGTAAGCTTCCTATGTGAGTATGTTGCAACTTGAAGAGAGAGAAATGTGACAGTCCAGAGTCCAGACCATGATTCAAATCTTGCAGGCTCCCTGAATCTACAGTCAAGTGCTCAACGAACTGAACTATCTGGCCATGGGTGTTCAAACTCATCTGAATGCAACATTATCTAATTTTTCAAAGGTTGTTGCACCCCAAGATACTAGTCCATAATATATGATGTTTTCCAGCCTGACCAGTCTATTACCTGGTAACTTCCAGGAGAAGAGAAAATGTGCTCCACCAACCAAGCAATCTGGCCACCAGCAATTAAACCTGTCTGACCACCATATTATCATTGGATCTTGAACAAAAGGCCCATGTTATTAGCTCACCTGAGCTGAAAACTCAATTGAACTTTTCTGATCACCTATTTTCCGTCTTCCATCAATCTGTCTTTCCATCCATCCGTCTTTAAACCTTTCACATTTTCAACTTCTTCTCAAGAACCACTGGACCTATTGTAAACAAATTTGATACATAGCATGCTTTAGTGAAGGGGACTTAAAATTGTTAAATCATGGGTTAAGCCCTCTTCCAAGGGGAGATAGTCAAGAAATGACAAAATTAGGGTTGGAAAAAAATCCTCTTCTTTGGAACTGCTGGACCAGAAAAGCTGAAACTTATGTGGAAGCATCTTAGGGTAGTGTAAATTCTAAATTGTTCAAATCATGACCCCCAGGGGTAGGGAGGGGCCACAATAGGGACAAGGGGGGAATATTTTGAAGAACAACATTGTCAAAGTTACTCAGGTGAGAATTGTGGCCCATCGACCTCATGTATATTTTAATTGTAGTCCAGTTGGTTGGAATATCACTGCCTTTTGAACTTAATATGTTTGTGAAGTTCATTACCATATTTTTTATAATAGGCAGGAACTGTTAAAGTGGAATGGTTGGGGTTACAGTGATTCCAAGTTTATTCTGAACAAGGATGGACAAGTGGAATTTTCAGGAGACAGGTAAAAAAAACAAACAGTTTTCAGTTATAAATTTTGCAAAGCAGACTTAAATGGTTTCAATACAGTGAAACTCATTTTGTTCATATATGCCAGTTATTTATTTATTTTGTGGCTGATCTGCAGGTATCGTTTGAGTGGGCAGGTGATGCCACTTCTCCGAGAATGGATGATGGCAACTGTAGGCATTAGTCTAGATCACAAGACCCCAGCTCAGGTAAAACACAATTAACAGTGACTATAGTAATTTAGTATCAAGTTAACTTAAAAAAAAATTTTAAGGCACATGATGTTAATGTTCTCTCTGAACTATCATTGACCATACATTCTTGTATTCATACTCATGAATGTCTTTGCTAGCCAAGTGTCTGATTCTTTTACCCTCATTTCCATTAATAGTTGAGATGAGGGGAAACAAATCAGACACTTGGCAGGCAAAGATGAATCATGAAAATATGTTTTAATGACTTACTAATAGTCTGTGATCTTATTTTATGTTCTTATAGCCTCCCCTGACAGCCAAAGATATAAATGCACCAATAAGAAATGAAGAATTTATCTCAGACCTTAGAAGGACCAGTATTCCTTTTACAGATGATTGCCAGGACAGACTTTTCCGTGCTCATGGTAAACATTGTCATTGTAAAAAAAAAATACATCACACAATTGTTGTACATGTACTTTAATAAGAGTGGCGATTTCAATAGAGGATTCAAAATGTCAATTTATACTTAAATAATGGATCTATATTTTTGATGAATAGTTTCTGTATTAGAATTCCTGTGATATGAGTTAACTTTGACTTGTTCATTGTAGGACACACATTACATGAAATTTTTGTCCTGAGAGAAGGAATGTTTGACAGAATACCTGACCTAGTAGTCTGGCCTCGTGAGTTATATGTTGCCTTCATATAATTTGATATTTTATGTTGCTAATTAAAAAAAAAAAATTGTGGCAAGTCTAATGTTATTAATCAGAAAAGTAACAATAAATTGAATGCAATGAAAGGCTATTTATGACTGCATGTATAGTAGCAGGAAAGTTTGTTAATACTGATTGTAAATTGAATTTTCATTAAAATGTTTTTTTGTTTTCCCAGAGTGTCATGATGATGTTGTAAAGATCACAGCCTTATGTTGTAAACACAATGTAGTCATTATTCCCTTTGGAGGTAAGAAACACAAGAAGATGAATTATTTTTTTCTCTTCTGAATTCATATGAGTTTTAAAACATTTAAAAAATCTTTGATCATTTGACTCACTTAAATTACACCCCCTCCTTTTAAAAATCATGTCAATAATCTATTTTATGTCAAGATATGCAACCTTAGGTATTTATTGACTAGCTGTTTTATTTTTATTTACAGGAGGTACAAGTGTGTCGGGTGCTTTGGAGTGTCCGGCGGAAGAAAGAAGAATGATTGTCTCCCTTGACACATCACAAATGGTAACCATAGCTTAGCACTGCAATGTCATTTAGTCATGTTCAGCCAAATGGCAGATATAATAAACAGTATTTGAATGTAAAATTAAGTGGTGTTGTTTTATGTTTTTATAGAACAAGATTCTGTGGATTGATGAGAAGAACCTGACAGCCCACTGTGAGGCCGGGATAATTGGTCAGGATCTAGAGAGAAGGGTAAGCCTGGATGAAAATCTTTATAAAAGTCTAATATTCAGCATGAAAGACAGCTACAACTCCACAGTGAAAAAATGTTTTATGATAATATATAAAAATCATTCCACTCAGCTTTTAATTGTCATAGTGCAAAAAGTTAAGTTGATCAAACTAAGAATTTAATAGGATGTCTTCACAAATGTCATGATGTTATTCCAATAGTAATTCATTTTCAGTTGGCCCAGAAAGGTTTCTGTACTGGACATGAACCAGACTCTATGGAGTTCAGCTCTCTTGGAGGCTGGGTGGCCACCAGGGCATCAGGGATGAAGAAAAACATTTATGGCAATATTGAAGATCTGGTAACTTTTAATGGAAACTTCTAATGGAAAAAATTTAAAATTCCTTTAAAGCTTTGATATAGAAAGAGACACAGTAATGTATGCAGATAGAAGCATAAGGATAAAATTTTGTTAATTTGTGATCTGAAATGGTTTCGAGGGAATTTAATTTCCTTGTTTCCAGCTTAATCAAATGCAATAAATAAAACCATTCAAGTATATAAATTTCATTTGGACTTTGATTTCATTGATGATTATTTACAATTAGATAAATAAAATGTTATCCCAAAAGAATGTTTCTTTTTATACAAAGAATGTATACACTGTTTCTCCACAAGTCTGGGTACTAGTAAGGGTATAAGTGATCACATGGATGTTAGAGGAATACTGTATACAGGGAAATTTTCGCCCCGGTTTATTTTCGCCCCTTTCGCCCTACCCTCATTTGGGCGAATTTAAAACGGGGCGAAATGAAATAATATGGTATAATTTCTTTAATAAAACTCTGATTGGGCAAATTTAAAACGGGGCAAAATTGTTTGCAAGTGTGAAAGGGCGAAAATTAAATGGGGCGAAAATACCCCTGTATACAGTACTCTGTGTTAGACCTAATATGTTTAATGTATCATATCAGTATTGATGTTGTGTTTTATTACAGGTGGTCCACATTAAGTTTGTGACCCCGCGGGGGGTGATGGAGAAGAGTTGTCAGGTCCCCCGCATGTCATCAGGCCTAGACATCCACCACTTTATCATGGGCTCAGAGGGTAAGTAACTCTTATTGTACAGTAAATCTGAAAAACTAGATACAGTAGAACATTACTGATCAGGGGATTTTCATCTTGTATAAGTCATAGAATCTGAATCTGTACAACCACTCATAGCCAACAAATGTTAGTTTAGGTGTGGCGAGTCGGTTAGGTTTCAATAGGTGTATGCATATTTCTGCATCTCTATACAGCTATAAAAAATTTACCATTTTACCTGATAAAGTATATCCTGCTGTTTTGGAAATAATTTATTACATTAATGAAGTTCAATGGAGAAGCTTTGATTGTAATTTTAATTTAAACAATATTTTATTATGAATGAACATGATTGGATCGGACAGCAGGCACTGCTTATATGTCCTCTCCATATTTTGATTGTAATTTAGTAAAAGTAGAGTTCCTATAAGAATCTCTGTCTCTCATTTAGGAACACTAGGTGTGGTAACCGAGGTTACCTTGAAGATCCGTCCTCTTCCTCCATGTAGAAAGTATGGCTCCATAGTGTTCCCTGATTTTGTTAATGGCGTCAACTGTCTTAGGGAGATAGCCAGGCAAAGGTGTGCCCCAGCCTCAATACGACTGATGGACAACCAACAATTCCAATTCGGTTAGAGAATTTTTCAGAAGAATACAGTCAAACCTCAATATCTCAAGCTCAATGATGCAGAGAAAAGCTATTTAAAAAATCCAAGGATTCAAGCTAACGAAGTTGATCAACGTTTGTTCTTTTGTATATTTTAGGTCATGCTTTGAAACCTGAGTCGAAATCCTTGTTAAATAGTTTTGTTGAAGGCATTAAAAAGTTTTACATCACCAAACTAAAAGGTTTTGATACCTCTAAGATGGCTGTAGCTACTCTTTTGTTTGAGGGAACTAAACAGGTTTGTACTTCAAAAATATATACAAGGTATTTGAAAACTCAGTATACTAATAATCTTGCAATGGAACAGATACATGTACACTGTATTTAAAAACAAAACTTTTATTTGCAGTACATTTTGCATTTAAATTAATTTTTTTTTTAAATTCAGTTTTGTCTATCTTATTTTAACAGGAAGTAGCAGCACAAGAAAAGAGGGTTTATGAAATTGCAGCTCAGTTTGGGTATGTGAAAATATACAAGTAACAATCTTACAGCCTTAATTTCTGTTTTTTAAAGGAGCTTTAAATTCATATATATTTTGATAAAAATAGCATTCTGTCTTGATCGAATTATCTTGGTTTCTCAGTTTAGAGGAATTCTAATATTCATTTTCTGTGGAAAAAAGCTAGGATCCCGTCTTGTATTATTTATTGAAATAGTGTTTGTATATAACATAAACATTACCATTTTCAGGGGTTTGCCAGCAGGTGCAGACAATGGAGAGAGAGGATATATGTTAACTTTTGTTATTGCATATTTAAGGGTAAGAGTCTTTTTCAGAATTCTTTATATTACCTTTTTTCCTGCTCTGTTGTTTGTCTTAAAACTATAATTTTCATATAGTTACATTTAATGGTTATGATGGAAGAAGTCTTGATTTTAAGTCGTCTTCTCCATTGAGTATAAATGTTGTCCATCTCTTACTATCAGGATTTGGGCTTTGAGTACTACATAGTAGCAGAATCATTTGAAACTTCTGTTCCTTGGGATAGGTATGTACCAGTGTTTAATGGAAAAACTTACTCTGTTTATCTAATTGTTATAAACTTTTATCCATAAAAACACTCTTTTTATCCTGGAGTAATGCTTATGATGTCAACCTTGCCATGACTGTATCTTTATTACACCCCTTTAGTTTTTAAACTCACTGAGATTTCTTAAGGTTTTGTTGAATTGTCTTTCTTTCAGGTGTTTAGACTTGTGCCAAAATGTCAAAGACAGGTTACACAGAGAATGTAAAGAGAAAGGCATTCAGTTCCCTCCATACATCACCTGCAGGTTAATGAGACTGGGATTTTTTTTTATTTTCATTGTGAAATAAAGTCTTACAGAAGCGCATGTTATAACAAAGCAGGAACAAGAAATATTTCATCTGTTGACTTGAATTTGCTAAACATAGTTTTGTTACAATGTTGTGCTTATATTTGGTAATATGATTTGTCAATATTTAAATTTGATGAATAATGTCAGAATTTTTTTTTTGATTTTTAGGGTAACCCAGACCTATGATGCAGGTGCCTGTGTGTATTTCTACTTTGGTTTTAATTATCGAGGAATTCAGAACCCAGTCCATGTGTACGAGGAAATAGAGGTAAGAAACTAGTGAAATGTTTTCATCCCATCCATTGTACATTGATGTGCACTTTGTTTTACGTTTTGATTACTGGTATTGTTACTGATATTATGTCCATAATTTCCTAGGGGTCAGCCAGAGATGAAATCTTGGCAAATGGAGGAAGTATATCCCATCACCACGGTGGTAGGTTTCTTCTTTAATTTGATTTCCCACTGAAATATTTGTATATCCCCTTTTTCCTAATGAATTACTGTAAAACCTGGTTATACAGAACTCCAATATAAAAAATATTAGATGGTTAAATGGATATTTTTTCTAATATCTCCTTGGCTACTTTTCACTTTCTTCATTATAGGGATACCAGTACAAATAGTTTTAGTTATAAAGAAGTAAAATTTTATGTTCAAGTGATTTCCTTATACTCAAGTTTTATTCTATCCTCTGGATTTCCTGATTTTACAAGTAACTTTGAAAGAAAACAACAGACAAACAATTATTTTGAATTTTCTGACATTTATGGTGTGTTGCATTCTTTCAGTTGGTAAGCTGAGGAAGAAATGGTTAAAGAAAACGGTAGGAGAAGTGGGCCTCGGATCAATGCGGGCCATCAAGAGTTATATAGACCCCAATAACATATTCGGAAATGACAACCTTATGATTGGGGAATCAAAGTTATAAAACGTTGGAAAATGTCAAATGTTTTTCAAATACATGTAAGGTTGATTATACTTTTATTGAAAAAAGTGAGATAAAAGATTCCAACACTCTTGAATTATTGTTTTATCATTTGGGTAAAAAATTGCAATTATTATGGTATTTTAATTTATCATTGAATGTAAGATGAATAAAATGTTTCATGTGACAAAGCAATACTGGTTAGAGGAATGAGTTCATAGCAAGATCTTTTGTGAATAAACTCTTTCTGGCTAGTGCAGTATGTGATGATTCGTATACATGCACTCTAAAATCTGTCATGCAAGGTTATGTTAAAATTCGTTTGAAATTACTGGTTCTCTGAACAAGATCATACAATTTTTTTTTTAAATAATTTAATTGACATTAAACTTCTGCTAATGTTTGAATACACAGATTTTTCATGTGATTTCATATTTTCATGAGTTCCAAGAATTTGTTATATATTGCTCTACTTTTGTCTTTCTTTTTACAGTATATTGCTCTCACTTTATCTTTTCTTTTTTATGGTATATAAATTCTGCCATCTCTTAATTATTCTAAGTTGGCAGATTTCTTGCTTATTAGGTATTTACTTTTCATGTTTACTTTTATAACTTATTTTATTAATTATCTATATAATATTGAACCTAATTAGTTTTTTATATCATCCTCCATACTCTGCTTTGAATATGTTTCTTTGTGCATGATTCTTGTTATTTTGTTTTTTAACAAATGAACAAATATTGAAAGAAGTTAAGTTTGTATATTTCAATCCACAGGGTACGGCTTTTGTTCGACTCCATTAGAATTCATAATAATCAATTTCACCAAACAATTGATTTCAGTTCAATCTCGGTGTCAATGAACAGATTTGAATAACAACTCTTGTTTTTTCTGTGCTATGTTTGTTAGAAAGTTGTATGAATGATTTCTTTCTGTCCAATTTTATTTTATAAAATGTCAGTGGTTATGCATGATGTTGAGGAGCTGTTTGTTTGTGTACATCAGTCAATCATGTTCAATTTAAGCATTATTTATTTGTTGATTTCTTTTTATGACATTTGATCATTATGTTATAATAAATGTAAGTCAGAGATTCCAAGAAACCAAATATAGTATAGTAAAGTTTACAACAAATAAACAGAATGTTTATTCAAGCTATAGTTTTTTATTCAAGCTAAAACAATGTTCTTTAATTGTGACTTTAGAGAAGGTTTTTTAATCAAAAGTCAAATTTATTGTTTGACTGTCATTCTCACAATTCCCCTTACATTGCATAAAAAACTGACATATTTAATTTACAAATGGAAGGAGGAAGAAGAAACATTTATTTTATTAATTTTTTTGTTGTTATTTTTTTGATGCATGGCCTTTGGGGGAAATATTTTTTAAAAAAAGAAAAGGAAAAGGTTTGGTAATTATGGAATGCCATATACGACAGCCAACTTTTAGCCAACTATATTTTACACACAATATCAAAAAATTTTATATTTATATTGATATTTATATTGTTTTCAAAAAAAAAAAATATGATTCACATCATACAGGGAAGCATTTTTTTACAAGAGGATGTAAAACAATGTAAAACATTATGTTTTAATTTATGTAATATTCAATATAAATTTCTTTCAAACTGTGTTTATTTTTATTTTCTTAAAACTTTGCATATAGCATAAAAAAAAGATGTACATGTTTGTGATAAAGATGTTTTGAAAATAATCCGTCATATTTTCCATTTTTGATGAAAATTGAAACAAAAAAGAGAATCTCTGTGTCAAAAATTGACAAATTTTGTAAATTAAATGTGACCTCTGTATATCATAAAATGAAAAGGGTTAAGAAGATAAGTAACAGTGATCAATCTCAGAAAATCCATAAACAATATAAATAGGGCATAAAGACAAACCTTAGATATTCCAAAGGTGGGATCAGATGTCTAGGAGGTGTAAGCATCCCCAAATTTAATCAAATATGGTGGCAGTTAGCAGTGAGCCCTAACCTTATGCAGTTGGCTCAAGTATATGGCAACATTCTTCTTTTTGAAAATTCATATAAATATCAATATAAAAAAAATTTACAAATATATGGCCTAAAAATGACAGTTGTAAAACAAGTCAGCAGTTGGCAGTAAGCAGTTGGCTGTCGTATATGGCATTCCATAGGTAATGTGCTAACTTTTAGCTCTATGTGTTACACAAATATCAAAAACATTTAGGATTGGGACAGCTTGCAAACTTTTTTTGTGAATACATATATGTATTATACAGGGAAGCTATAAGCGGTGACAATTATTATAAAATTTTTTTGATGAAATTCAAATATGATTCTTTTTTTATGTAAAATCACATAAGCAGAATATGTACATGTATGTGATATTGGTGCATGAAAATAATCCGTCAACCCAATTTTGATGAAAATTGAAACAAAAATAAGAAAAATCAAAAATTGACAAATTTTGTAAATTAAATTATTTGTCATAAAATCAAAATAAGAAGATAAGTAACAGTTATTCAGAAAATCCATAAACAATATAATTTACATGCTCTTGATTCCGCAAATTCACGTGCTACAACCCCCGCTACTGTCTCTGTCCCGCCAAGCACGTGATTTTTTTAACCATGCCTATCGATGAGCCAATGCATTTGTGTCAAAATAACGTATTTTAACTATTTGTAATTTTATCTCGGACAAAGAAATTGGAAATGTAAATATAAGAGGTTGTAGAAATCCATAACTTCAACTTATCTGTCAGTAGCCTGCATGGAAAAGGTCCCTTGTAATCAACCATTGCGCCGTTTTAAGAAACATCACAAACCCGTCATAAAAGGGGGTTTGGTCCTTTGTTAGTTACACAGAAAATATTACCTTCACGGAGATCTTAAAGTTCTCATCACATAGGGAGTACCTTCTATTAGGTACAAAGCGGCATTTCTTTACATTTTCATTGGTAATTTTTCTATAGAACACGTGTAAATGGTTTGTATTTTGTTCATTAATATCTCTGCAACACTAACAAAAGAAAGTTATATATGTAAAAGTTTAGTGAAATTGTACACGACATTAGCTTAATTGTAACTTACAACAAATGATAAAAAAAAAATTAGAGAACCTTTGATATGCCTTCATCTTCGATCCCAACCTATACTCATACGTATACACCGAGTAACTGTCCACATATATTTTGGAAAGATTAAATTTTAAATTTATAGTCTGTAAAAGCTCCTGCATACATTTGGCTACATCACGATGATTAGATTACTAGTATTTAAATCTGAAAATTAAGTAGTAACTTGGAAAACGGATAAACAATCATACCACATTTATTCAAATTAAAATAATTAAGTACATAAACATTTCATTGTCAGTGAGAGGAATACTGTTTTAATTTTTGGCACTTTTAGAGCGGTCTATAATATACTCCACTTTATTTTTTTCCTCCTGTGTGAGGTCCTCTTCATATTTTGGAATCGAGAGTTCATAGCAGCATCTCTTACAACGATCATGAACTATAGCAATCCGTTGTTCCTTATTCGCACGTCTTTGCTTGGTGAGGGAGGCGCTCTTATGACTTCGGCCTGCAAGGGACATATCAATTTTAGGGAAAGATGTTTTAGCTCGCTTCACATGCTTTTTCTTTTTCTTCTTCACTCTTGGTTCGTCAAATGACACTAGAGGTCGCTGATACAGCGCAGACGTCGCATTTTCAGACGAGTATGTTTTTGCCGAAGCTTGAGTCATGTGGGTTTTCCGGGAAACTCCGTCAGTTTGCGCTTCTCTATCCGTGTCAGTTTCTTCGTTGTCGGAAAGTCCCGCTCCTTCCCCCGGATCGTCGATGATCTCTTCCTCGCTGCTGGCATCTGCCTCGTTGTCAGCCATTGCCCCCTCATCTACCTGTCCATTTTCCTCATCTTCTTTTAAAATCTCGTCAATTGTATCCTTTAGGTTTTCATTTTCCTTATCTCGACTTTCATCATTGTCCTTTTCGTTTTCTTTCCCCGTCTTTTCCTGTTCAGGAGGTGATTCTGATGAAATATCTCCTTCTTCATCAAACGTAATATCCGCTGGTTTATTGGCGTTTTCGACCATTTTGAGAGACGTGTCTATGTATATAGATGACATTTTGCTTTGATTGTCCATTGTTCTGTTTATTTCCTCTATAAGTTTGTCCATGGTATCATCTTCCTCGCACTGTGATATACTCCTCAGTTCTTTATCACCTTTGGAACTTTGCATACTTTCAGACTGTCTTCCATTATCGACATGTGAAATCTTATTAGACACCTTCTTCTTTTTCTTCTCAACTTCAACCCCCTTTGGAGAGATCATCTTTGAGAATCGATGTTTCCGTATTTTCGGTAATCCTTGTAATGCACTGGCTTTTAATATCAATTCTTCTTTATGTGTCATTCTCCTTGGACTGGGCTTTTTGATCGGCTCCAACATATTCTGAAGACAACGACTTCGAAGGTGATGAAATGACAGGTCTTCTGCACTTTCAACGTATTTCACGACTTTTGGATAGTCTTCCGTTTTCAGATCTTCAACAAACTTTGTTATAGTGTGTTCAAATGGACATCTTTTGCAATTAACTCTTAAAATTGCAATCCTGTGGTTTCTCTGTGCCATTCTCATTTCATGAGCGGACTGTCGAAGCTTTTCATCATCACGTGTGCTTTTAGCGGGCTTGGGTTTTTGCACCCTGTCCGTAAACACGACTGGGTAATCATTGAACGACACCCCAGTTTTGACAGGTGGCGGTATGCTTTCTGTGTCCTCATCCTCCTTCTCCACGACATCTCCAGTCACGTCTGCTGGAATCTGGGAAATCTCTTCTAAATGCTCTGTTTCAATGGTTTCCTCAATATGTTTCGTATCGTCTGCTTCTTCCTTTTTGAAAGAACTCCCGCCGTCTGTTGTTGTTTCCGTCTGTTTACTTTCATCATCCATCAATTCATCCAGCATTTCATTGAAATAATCGAAATTCGGCGGTGGTTTCTTGTGGGATTTTTTACTTTGTCTTGTTGTCGGCCGGAGGTATTCTTCATATTTATCCTCGCTAATATGAACAAGGTCTTTCATATGCGTGCCAACTGGTGGTTTGACACTGAAATCGAACATATGTTGACGAATATCAAAGCCACTGCCAAGATGTTTTCTTTTCTTGCTCGTGCGAACGAGAACTGCGTTAAAACAATTAAGGAGGCTGCCCATGATGACTGGAATTATACTTATGATCGCCATGTAAAATCCATATTCAAGAGAAATCTGTTTTCCGCTGTTATTGTAGGCGAATGAGTATGCTGCGATGATGATTAGAAGACCTGTGTAAAATATATATTAAAAAAAAAAATCCATAATCGGAGTAAAATCTACACTATGTATGTGCCATATAAATAATGTCAAACAAATAGTACTTTGTATAATACTGTTTGTGTAAAACTGATCAGATGATTTCTTGCTTTTATAGCCAAACAGGGCATATTATTATGAACGAGACAAATGTACAGTATGAGAACATACACGAAATAAACTCTTCTTTGTATTAAAAAAGAAAAAATAAACACACCAGAATCACATTTCAAAATATTATTCATATCGGGGCCAAATTTGACTCATATCAGATAAAGTCCTTTAAAATTGAACTCACCTGCGACAATACCAGTCCCTGCGGAGCCGTAGAGTAGTCTTCTCTTGGTTCTGTACTCCCAGTAAAATTGTAGAAACCCTGTCCCCGTGGATACAAAGTAAAAGAAGAGTCCCAGACTGGCCATAGCCTGGACAAAATCCTTCCAAGATCCTACAATACAAAAAATATTTGGAATGGTGCATTTAACATAAACCTGTATACATATACATGTATCGCCGTTTTAAAAATGTAAAATCACTTATCCTCACGGGTTGGGAGGGGGTATCTGTTGATTGGTATTTTATTTCGTAGATGAAGAACTGTTAAGTTGTTGTTATGTACATTTTACATTTCGTGAAAGACTAATTGTTGGGCCTCTTTATACCCCGAAAGCAATGAAAATGAAACTCTTGCAAAATAAGTTATTTCATAGAGCCTTGTTTTACTTATATTTATGTCTATAATACAAGGTCATTTACATTTTGTGTTTCAAAAGTTAAACTACTGAATATACGGATAGATACAGCAGTCAGTCAAGACAATAGCAGTTAAATGACTTTGTGATTGCCAATAAAAATGGAGCAAGGCTAAGGCCAAATTATTCTATAAACAAATTAAGAATATTTTTGCCTTACCCCCTCCCCTTCATTTTTTTAAAGTTATATTTGTAAGAGAACCATTATATACTTTCAAGAATATTTTAGAATAAAAAAGACAAGAGATATATCCAGACATCAGAAAAAATGCTGATGTTTTGATAACTAACATTTTAGTTTTATCGTCACCTTCTAGTTCCTGTTTTATAAGTAATATCATCACAAGACAGAGTGAAAAAATTGGAAATAAAAAAGAAAAGAAAATAGTGTTATTTATACTGGGGCTTATTAAGGTAAATGATAATTTCAATGGTTAATATGTTCCTGACTAAGGGTTGAACATCCTTTAATCCAGAATTTACCGGTATGTCTAAAATATTACTTGGGATGTTATACCGAAATAACTGTATTTTCTTACTTGGGATGTTATACCGAAATAACTGTATTTTCTATACGAACGCCCAGTATCTTCCCTTTTCACTAGTAAAAGTTCCAATAAATCAAAAAATAATTTTTTTCAGCGGTAAAAACGTACATGCATAACACACTGCATTTACCATGCTGTTAAATATAGAACTTACCATCCACATTAGAAAGATGGAAAGAGTCGCACTCAGATTTAAGAAAGTCCTCGATACAAGTCATAAAGAGTCCATATCGGTGGATTTGTGTGGCGTCCGTCGACGTGTATTTAGCCCAGTGTGGTAGTCCATACGCAACCACATAGTCTATAAATCCCAGGAGGATGAAAAGAAAAGTGATTTTGCGCAAAAGCGCTCGCGCCTTTTGGTTCATGGTTTCATATTTCCGATATTTTGTCCTTTTTTCTATAGGGTTACATATTTGTTAACTGCTTAAAAATCCGTATCTAACATGGCCTGCGATTCCTCTAAGTCTTCTTTGTTAAGCATATCAGGGATTTGGATCTTTTTATCTTTGAATCAAAATTTATTCAGTATAAGACATTGAATTGTACTACCATAGCCGAGTGCCTTAAAAGAATGGACCGAATGGTTATAACGAAGACTTTGTATCTTAACATTGACGGGTTAAAATGTCGTAACCAAGACCTATAATAACTCGATAACTCCCCCCTCCCCATTAATAATATTGTTTATGAAGCACCTCATTTTAAAAAGATAAATAATCACACAATATTTTAGGGGGTATCAATTGAAAGTGCAGTATGGGATACGTTTCTTCGGTGTACTTTAAACTTGTTGGTTGATTCAAGGATTTTCATGCACCAAATATCATCAAATGAACACAAAATAATAAAAACCTGAATAATAATAATTGCACCTACTGGTAATTTTTAAAGCGATAATTTTTAAAAATGACGAAAAGTTAATGTTCCGAATGATTTAACTTTGATGGGGGAGTGTTTCATCCGAGTTACCAACGGCACAGTAAAGAACGTTATACCTTTTATCAACTCATTTTTTTAAACAACTACATGTATTTGATCTACATTAAAATGAACCCAAATTCTAGTAGAAAATCTTGAGAAGTAAGTGCAGGGTTAGAATGCGTGGTTCAAGGAGGTGTAAAATTGTTCATTCAAAAGAATTGCCTCAGTACTACAAAATGTACAATCTTTTCTCTTATTTAAAATTTAAGGTATACCTTTTTAAGCACTTTCTGTTATTACACACTTTTCATTCAAATCGATGAGTGGCAAAGAATTTAAGTTGTCAAAACCCTGAAAATTCAAATATACAGGGTGACGTTGTTCGTTCTCTTATCGATGCATAAGGAGGCAATAAACTGTTTTTACCTGTAGAGTAGCTTGTGCACTTTGAACTCTTTTTTTTTTTAATTAAACAAGATGTGTTTGTGAAACACTGATGCACCGTATGGCAGCTAATGGCGAGGGCAGAACTTTAAAGTCCAAGGCCAAAGTCAAAATTGTTGGTATCCAAAGGCAGGTCTTGTCATAAGAATTAAACATTTGAAATATGAAAGCCCTAAATCTAACTGTTCAAAAATTATAACGAAGGTTAAAATTTTAAATGTGGGCCAAACTCCAAGGTCAAGCTCAAAAAGTGAAAAATTTAAATCTATTGAAAGGTCTTGTCACAATTGATACACATTTGAAGAATGAAAGACCTATAGCACCGACTGTTCAAAAGTTATAGCCAAACTCCAAGTAGTCAAGGTCAAGAGGTCAAATTTAGTGGTACCCAAATAGTCCCGATCTTCGATTCCGCGGGCATAACATAATATATGCTTTGATTGTAGAGTTGTTTTGTTTTATTTATACGTGCAATATTTATTCATTTATTTATTTTTAGTGGGGGTTGTGGGTAGGGGACTACAGATACTAGTATGTTGAACATTTTACAGCCACCAGGATATTCGGGCTGTAAATATTTTGCGTTGTTAGGTACTAGTATGTGCAAGGTGTTAAAGATACGCTTTAGTAGCAATAAATTGAAAGTAAACTTATGTTGATAGGTCTCGTTAATTTCGTTGTTTAAACGCTTTCCCACTAGAAATCATTGACATTGTCCATTAACTTTTATATGAAATCTTTTATCGCTAATAAAAATGAATGTTTTGTCCAAAATCAGTAAAGAGGTCCATTAAGCCCTTGTACTTCGGTTTAAAGGATTAAGTTAATAAATGTTTTGATTAACAAATCTGGAAAAATATTTGAACTGGAGAGTCTGAATTTTGTTTATCTAAGAAGGATCGATATATTGCTATTTCGGTTTTCTTTATAAACTTACTCAAGACTTTTTAGTTTTCTTGGCAAGCTCACAAGTACACTGTTGTGTTCATTAACCACGAATTCTTGTTAAATTTTACATGAATATGATCTCGACGACATTCATACAGAATAAAATTATGTTTATTTTTTAAATCTCAAAGAAGAGAATTTCGTCAACAATGTATGCCTTTCTTTGTGCTACTTTCAAATGTACATGTACTCGTATGTATTTTCGATACGTTTTCTATTTTACTGTTTCAAAGCAAAGAAAAAAGACTGTTCATCGATAAATTAAAGTATGAATTTTATTTTAAGCAAACAATTAATGTTTCACATTCCTTAAATCAGCACTATGCCCAATGCCAAGATACAATTAACAAGGTAGATACTAAATAAATGTAAAATAATCAATTAGGAAATGATGAAGCAAAACTAGATTACATATTACGATGACCATACACAACAATTGCACATGAGAAGTATGAAAGCCCTATAGTGCCAACCTTTACAAAGCATAGCCAAGGTTGGAGTTCTGACGAACAGAAAGATGATCATATATCTTTGATATCTAGGAGATAAGAAAGGTGAATCCAAAAATCTTTAATAATACTCAGTAATTAATTGCTCGATCTCTTCCTTCATGTCATTTCGAAGTGAGAGGGGTAAATAGGTCTAAATCAATTGCTGTTAAATGAAAAACTTTATATTTACAGAATTAACAATCACTTTTCAACTTCTGGTAAGTCTTCGAACTTATGCGAGAGCATACTATGTCCATGAACATCGACTTTATGTGGTTCGTGTTCATCGAAGCTGAATGCGGAATTGGATCGACCTTTCTTGATTTTCTTAGTGGATGCTCTCTTGGATTTCCTATAAGCCCGAGTCTTCTTCAAAAGATCCGAAATTTTGATAGGATCGAAGACATGTACCTTTTTCAAACCTTTGCCCTTCGCCTTGGGATTTGCAGCTTGTTCTACGCAAAAGGGCACTGAAATGATATCGTCATTCACGTCTGACGGCGTATATGGTCGCGGAGTTTCGGCCGATTCCGACATGTTGGTACTCGGATCATGAATATTATGGTTGCTTAATGCAGCCTCTCTTTCGTCCAAGTTTGGATTGACGTCATACTGTTCCTGACTAATAGACAGTTCCGCAACTTCTCGATCTTGCGACTTCGTTTCATACTTATCATACGCTTCTTTCTTAACAGTCAACTGCTTGAAAAAGAAAGGATCTTCGTCTGGCGACCTGTCGAAGTCGTCGTTAGTAACAACTATGCCTGGGGCAGGTTTTTGTTTGAAGTCATCGAACATGGTTCCACTGGGTGGAAACATAAAGGCAGGTCGTTCTATTTTTCGTTTTCTTTTCATTTTTTGTCGTCTTTCTTGGTGCATTTTCTCCATATCCTCTTTCTCGTCTATGAATACCATAGTTCGAGCAACTAAAATCCCCATCGCTGCAGCATAAAACAGAGGCGCGATGCTGATGGCTGCTAGATAGAATGCAATGTCGTCACTTCCGGCTGAATACGATGGTTGGGATTTATAAATGGCCACAACAAGAATGATGAAGATTCCTAGATTAAAATTAAAAAAATATTAAATGAAACAAAAATTCAATATAAATGAAGTAAAATAACCGTATTTTGTTGAGAAGTGTAAATAGCTTAATGTATACGTTTAAAAAATGAATTTGTCGCACTAAGCCACTTTTCTGTTAAAGCCAAATTAACATCAGAAATGACTTTAGACATAACAATTTTTTAAGTTTTTAACCTTCAGGGTATTGACATGATGAACATTAAAAGAGAGCAAAATTTCAATCTTTCATTTATTTTTCGTGTGATTTAATACACCTTTGAATATCAGTCAACTGTTAACCATTGAATCATAGCAATTTATATTAATCGTGCTACACTCGTTTCTCTGTAACCTTGTCAAGCAATCGTGTTCAAATGTTTAAAAAATATGTATTTCAAAAAAGGAAACTAATACTTTTAATTATTCTCACCTGCCGCTAATGAAGTTCCCACTGAAGCATAGAACAGCCTCTGTCTCTTCTCGTTGATCCAGCAGAGCGCCAGGAATCCGGTGGCCATAGCGGCCGTGTAGAAAACCAGTCCAAGACTGGCTAGCGCCTTCAATGGTATTATGATGCCCCCTGCAAGACCGCAATATAATTTTTCTATCATACCATCAGTATAGCCACTAGCCAATAAAAGGAGGGGGCGTTCGCAATACGATTACATTTATCCTTCTTTTTACAAATTAATATTTCAAAATAACCATTGTTTTCGAAAAAGTCTTGATAGAAAATATGTAAACAGTCATTTTCCTTCTCATTTTGGAAACAACAAGTAAGAAATAGAGCTAATGTTTGTACAGGCTTTTAAGGTAAAAAGTAATTAAAATACATGTATATATGTTTGAAATTCTATTTAGTTCAAATCTAAGTTACCGATTTAACCTACCTTCAACATTATCGAAATGCGTGTATTGACAACGACTTCCTCCATCGCTGTCAATAATGCAGGCCATAAAAATTCCATAATTGTAATGTTGGCCAGTCTCCCGTTTTGTAAATTTATACCATCTTGGAATAAAGAACGAAACGACGAACAAAACATACCCCACAAATAGAGCGAAAAACACCGTTTTCTGTAGAAATAAATTCGCTCCTTTCTTCATCTTTTTGAGCTAACCTTGGCCAAATTTCGGCAATGATAAAATATGATTTAGAATACGAACATTTCACTCATTCTTCCCTCCTGCTGCACTTGATAACAATTGAACAGAATAACACCTATATGTACAATGGTTGTTGATCTACGGGGAATTTAAACCAATTAACCATTCAAATTCGTTCTGGCAAAAGCATCCTGACACCCAATCATCCATGACCTAGTCTTGTGGAACGAAGAAAGAGTTAAATGCCAATGACTGTTAGTTCATGATCTATGCCCTAACTTGTTGTTTAAAGTGAAAGTTATAATTTACCTCGCAAGAATGACATTTTCTTACGACATTTTAATTTATTGATTTGAAATTTTCAACTTCAATTTCAAATTTCAATGTCAAGAGTCCAACTGATTGTATTCTTTTCTAATGCATTATTTACCAACATTGTCATTTTTGTTTATTAAACATTACAAAATTTATTCCTTGTCTAGGAAAACAATGCCGGAAGTAACTTACCGTATTCTCAGTAAATCAACCAAACGATATTAAAATGATCTCGTACAACGGTATATTGAAGGCTTTGAATCTGGCCCTAGAGAGAACTTCCCATCCATGCATCCATCCTAAGAACTTGCTCTAGACCCCCACTCCCGGAAAGCATGCCATTTTCACCGAGAAAAATAGACTATAATTCTACATCACATTCAATATTCTTATGGGGGATCCTTCTTTGTGCGATGGTTTTAGAGTGCGTTTTCCTCCTAATTGTCCTACTGAAATGAAAAGAAAAACGGATGAGAGACATTAAAACAAACATGTGCCCCTTCTGTAATTTTCCAACAGGTGCTCTGACTTTAAAAATTTTTAATTAAACTTCACAAAAATTTAAATTCGCAATGTGCAATTAACATTTTTTTTTTCAAAATGGAAACCAGAAACATTGTAACATTTACAAGATTTTATTATTATTTTCATGTGGTCTGTCCAACATTTTGAAGGAAAATAGTGGTACAATGTAATTATGTAGACAATTTTTATGCTCCCGTAATCGAAAATTCGGGTTATATAGTTTTTGTTCTGTTCGTCCATCTGCCTCTTTGTCTGTTAACATGTATGTCAGTCAAAAAATTAACCTTGCTCTTAATTTTGACTAGATGGGGCTGTGGATTCATATTTCAAAGATATATTCCTTGTGACAAGACCCCCTTTTTAGGGTACCACCAAATGTGACCTTTGAGTTTGAACCACTTTTACCAATTTTTTCCAACTTTAACATTGATCATAACTTTAGAACAATTCGTGTTACATTTATGGTTTTCATACTTCACATGAGTACTATTATTCATCGTTATAAGACATTTGAAAGGATTTAAATTTTTTTTTAACCTTTTGACCTTGAACTTAGAGTTTGATCCATTTTAAAGAAAACTTTAACCTTGGTTATAACTTTTGAATAAGTGGAAATAGGGCTTTCATATTTCACAGATATATTCCTTTCGATAAGGCCTTCCTTTGCATACCAACAATGTTTACTTTTTGGACTAAACCTTAAGCTGCCAGATGGGGCCGCATCGGTGTTTCACAAACGCATCTTGTCTCTCATCTAATGGATTTTCCTCCAATGATAATACAAAATACATATATCCTTGCCACTGCGCTAAGAGGGTGTTGAAACATCTTACAATTTTTGAGTGACTTATTGTTTTGTCCTCAAGAAAATCTAACTGGTTTGTAACGTCAAAATATATATATATATATATATATATATATATATATATATATATATATATATATATATATATATATATATATATATATATATATATATATATATATATATATATATATATATATATATATATATACGATACTTTAAATCCAAATTAGTATGATATATTTTGCAAAGTAGATTTCACATACAAAATATACATTTTTTTTTTGTTGTAAATTTTGAGAGATTTTCAAAATATAGTTTTAGAGGGGGGGGGGTTAAACGTTAATATCGTCATTGGTCATTTGCAAAATGATTTTTTTATAACACATTCTAACAGCACACGCAAGTACTCTAAAGTTGACATCAAAAGATGCTTGGGTTTCTGATTGACAATATTTATGTGGTTTTTGGAAACCAGGTCTTCCAGCAATCTATTAGAATCCCCATGGGTACCAATTGCGCTCCGTTTTTAGCAGACCTATTCATATGAAGCAGAATTTCTGCAGAATCTTATTCGTGAAGAGGAGAAAACACTTGCTGTGACTTCAACTTGACATTTAGATATATCGACGACGTACAATGGTAATTAACAATGGTAATTTCCATTCCTATGTCGATACGATATATCCTGGGAGCTTGAGGTAAAAGATACCACAGAGTCTGACAAATCTGTTTCATACTTGGATACTTACTTCCAAAAGACATTATTGGTAATCTAACAACCAAGCTCTATGATGAACGTGATAACTTTTCTATCGTCAACTTCCCTTACTTATGCAGCAATATACTAATACCTTCATCACCTGCATACGGAGTTAATATATCTCAGTTGATTCGATACGCAAGAGCATGCTCTACGTATGAACAATTTCTAAAACGAGGTAAATTTTTGACAAACAAGTTGATGAAACAAGAATATCAGCAGTATCGTTTAAAGTCATCATTTCGTAAGTCATCATTTCGTAAGTTCTATCCCCGTGGGGATCCGGGTTAGAATAGGTCCTCAGTACCCCCTTGCTTGTCGTAAAAGGCGACTAAATGGGGCGGTCCTTCGGATGAGACCGTATAAACCGAGGCCCCGTGTCACAGCAGGTGTGGCACGATAAAGATCCCTCCCTGCTCAAAGGCCGTAAGTGCCGAGCATAGGCCTAAATTTGCAGCCCTTCACCGGCAAAGGTGACGTCTCCATATCAGTGAAATATTCTGGAGCGGGACGTTAAACAGTATACAATCAATCAATCAATCGTAAGTTCTATGGTCGATACAATGACCTTGTCAGCAAATACAAATTATCATTGAGTCAAAAGCTGACTGGCGATTTTCAATTGTTAGTCCATTATTTATACACTGAATTGACGACGGATTTTTCAGTTATTTCATGACAAGGAGCACACGGCGGGTGTGACCGGTCGGCAGGGGGTGCTCACTCCTCCATGGCACCCGATCCCACCTCTGATGTTTTGGAGGTCTGCATGTGTTTGTTCTGCTCCTGTTTTGTGTTGTTTTATGGAGTTTCGATCTGTTCGTTATCTCCATATGTTTCATCCTACTCTGAGAATGAAATAGGGAAAATCTGGCTGTAGCGTGAGATTTCTCCTAAAAGATTTTTTAATGCTTATAAACCATTATAAATTGTAATAAAAGTATAGAAATACAAGGCGCTGTTCTACTTTGGTTCCAAACTCACCAACAGCATCGTAATGACGTCACGGTTATGCCCACCTTGTGAAAAGGATGAGGGTGGGGGTTACAGAAGAGCATATTACTGAGGAAAAGTATCACATGAGTCATTTAAATAAAATATGAAAACGGAAAACTACGAATACGTGGATTAATTTGATCTAAACTTTCAGAAAATATATTTTAATACAAAGTTTTAACAAGTCTGTTTAAAACGCATTATTTAACTCTTTATAATACTAACGATGTTAATTTTGACTAACAGAAAATAAATATCAAAGAAAAATACACAGAAAAATAGAATTTTAAATCAAGATTTAAAGTTTTAAAGTGAGAGAAAATCAAGACAGAAGAAAAAATGGCTAAATTAAGCATGCAAGTCAAAAGAAATTAAAGATAAAAACAAGATACGCGGATCAGGGAAGAAAAAAAAAACAGAATTCGTCCAAGGAATCTTAAAATCTATATATGTATACAGTGTTTATAGATGGCAGGAGGATAACAAAAGGGAAAACTAAAAAATCTAAATTTAAAAAAAATCCTTGAAAGTGGTATAAAATTTCAAATTTCATGCAGGGTGGTGAAATCCTATGTACGATGTGAGGTGATATACTACTGTACCGTACATGAAAATGTCTGGAAATTTTTTACCATTCATAATACATTCTACTGGTATTTCTAAAGCAATCACAGTTTAAAATTCTGCTAGATTTTTCCCCTTTATGCTGTCTTTTTAGGGGGTCTCTAGTCCTCGCCTGACGTTTTAAATTTTAGACAGGCACAGGTATCTACTTGTATTTTCCTATTATAAAAAAAAGTCTTAGATTTTTCATGAATCAGGATTTGGGATTGCATCACAGGCCTTTGAAATGAAACTCAAGTCGATGTCATCTGCACCAACACGCACAAATTCATGATGCATGGCTAGATCTAAAACATTGAAAATACCGTATATACTCGCCTATAAGTCGGTTGTATAAAATAAGCTTGCATATCAGATGGACTAACCTCATATAAAACCATACTTTGAATAGCTCGCCTATAAGTCGGACAAAGAGTTTTAGACCAGAGATTAACTCCCCAAAAACCGACTTTTAGGCGAGTATATACGGTAATTGAAAGTTCTTGTTCACTATTTTATTCAAATAAATGAATGGAATTGGATATCAGGTACAGTTAATTTTAGCCCTCTTCCTGTGTAATGAAAAAAAAAAAGAAATATATAGATAACAACCAATTTGGTCATGCAATTGTCATGTTGTAAATTTTGAATTTACCGGGTGGCAGTAAATACAAAATTTACAATATGACAAGTTGACAACTAATACAAAATTTACAACAATGACAACTAGTTGTCATGTTGTAAATTTTGTATTTACTGCCACCCGTTAAATTCAAAATTTACAACATGACACAATGACTAAATCCTAAAAAGATTCCGTTTTTCGATACAAGAAGTTCAAATTTTATGTACAGTGTATTAAAAAATGTCATTCGAGGAGGGGAACTTTCAATTATTTTGCTCAACATTGTCATCTGTATACAAAGCATTTTGTCTTCCCATCTCTTCTTTTATCATTTTTGTTCTAAATCGTTCTTTTTTTTTTTACATTGATCAGTTAAAAATTAACTATCATATTTTTTTTTAAGCCGGATGTTCAATTTTATTCTCTTTTTAGAGTTTTTCAAAACGATTAGTTAGTGATTTAGTACACTTATCCATATATAGGATACAGGATGTAAAAAGAATAAGCATTTTCCCGATTTTTCGTTATCCTTAGTATAATCAACGTACAGGACGAAATCTCATTAACAAATCGGTACTAATTGCGAACAAAACATGCCATAATATTATATAATAAAACATTTTTTTCTGTTTTTTTTTTAAATCGAAAATAAATTTGTTCAACCTAAATTCAAATAGGAGTTGGGGAAAACCTTTAATGTCCTTGTCTCTTTTATGTGATGTAAATATTTTGTTTAGATGTTGCTTGAATCACTCAGAAACCACTCTTTCCATTAATTATATCAACCTCGTAATATTGTCTAACAAAGAAAAGGAAAAACGTTCCAATTCACATAACATGAATAAAGGTAACACCCACATTCTGTGACGTACATAGGGAAATTAAAATATCAATTAAAAGGTTTAATTCAGGTGACCATGCAAGAAGCAAGTCGCACCTAGGCTCTAGAGTTTTGAATTGTTTCACAACAAATAAATCTGTAAAGTAAAAAAATTGGGGCATAATTAAATCGAATGTAGTTCACTAGAACTAAATGTATATAAAAACCTTTTTTACTATTAAGGGGAAGTTTTTCCCCCTCAGAGAATAATTTTGCAACAATACAATGCAGAAAATTTTCCTGTTATCTATTTTTTTTTTGTATTATTTGGCACAAACATTAAGTCGCTTTTCAACTTTTGCACATCGCCTTGCAAAGACCTTAATTTAGTCTGTCTGCATATGTAAATATTATAAACGGTAGAAATACACAAGTCGGTACTTCGTTTTATAGTTTATTAACGGTCCAAACTTGGCGTTTTCTACTCATCTGTATGTCGGCGTGGACAATGCAAAGTCCAGATTCCAACTGAAGATCATGTATTAAACAACCAATTTATAACAAGTACACAATTACAATGAAGAGTTACTCTAAGCAGAAGGTCATAATTGATATAATTAAATTAATTGAATATTAATTAACATGTTCACTCAGGCACAGGTGGCATCAATTGCCTTGCGGTCAAGGTCTGATTATGTTAAGTTAAGCACTATCAAAAGGAAATTATTGCTACTCAATTAGATATGTTCATTTTACACGGTCACAATATGTGTATTCACCAACCAAAGGTCCTTGGATGGGGGGTTTACGGTTCTAGAAGTACGACCAAACTTTGGTAGGTAGTACATACAATATAATAATATAAAATATGAATTAATATGTGTACATGTGAGAGGTGTTATTTTAAACTATGCATTTCATTCTCTTAAATTAGCCAAAATTAGTTTTAAAAAAAAATGGGCCTGCAAATATGTACTTTATGTACTGTTGAAAATCGCATATTAAATCTATCACATTGTCAAAACATTTTCCAATGCACTTGACCTGGACATTTTTGTTGAAAAAATATACATTCAACTGCGATATAGGTTTGTTCCCACCTACTTAGAGGAACACAGTGGCAATTACTCACAAAAATCTAAACGGAGCGTGAATCATTCGCGGCCCATCACAACACACTGTGATCTACAAAGGGACGCCAGGAGTTAATGAGCGGCGTGGCTGTTCTATTAGTCCGAGGACATTTAGTATACCTGACCAAAACAATGGCGTCCATTTTGCTGGACATTTATGACGGTGCATTGTTCTAGTTACTGATTATTTTTTTTTTAATGTATCACAAACTTGGGATTCCCATGGATGTCTTATTCGTGGAGGAAGCGATATTTTGAGATACTTTTAAGGACTATTAATACTTTTTCATTTTTTAATTTGGGAAGAAAAACCAAGTGACATTATTTTCAACAATATAGTCAACAGTAGGATTTTCCACCATTTCAGTGATCATTTATACTAAACTATGGATTATAATAACTCACACTAATTGGAGAATTTTATACGGCTGTTAAAACGAAAACTCATGGATGTTGTGTAACAGCAGAATAACAATATCAAAGTGGGAGGTAAAAAAAATTGTACAAAAGATTGAGGGTCACCCAGAGGAAGTTCATTGCATAAGAAGAGGAAATACTTGTGCGACTGTCTGTCAATATGAATTTTACCACTTTCCCCTCTAATATAAGCGTGAGCGAGACAATGTCTACGACAGCAGCAATATTTACCACTGGGCAACCATCGCTCAGTAGTGGGCAACCATGGCCCAGCACTGGGCAACCATTGCCCAGTGAGGAATCTCTTGCCGCAGTCATACTAGCCCACATGAACGAGGAGGAAAAATTTCGCCAGATTCCCCTGACGTTATTTCTAGTTATTCTTTCGGTAACCGGATTGTTCGGAAATGTCTTAGTTTGTTTCATATACGGGAGAGTGTATAAAATTTCCAACTCCCGAACGTTCATTATGAGTCTTGCGGTGGTGGACTTATTCACATGTGCCATAGGAATTCCAATGGAAATAGCGACTTCATTGGATCAGTATCAGTTTCATTCGCCGTGGGTCTGTAAAATTTCTCGGTTTATGAATATTTTCACAACCATAACGGCTGCCGTCGTGCTTGTACTTATTGCAATGGATCGTTATCGGAAAATCTGTCGGTCTTTGGAATGGCAGATCACAAATAGATATTCCAAGATACTTTGTGTCTGCTCTGTGATCGCAGGACTTATATTATCTTGGCCAGCATTTCCCTTATATGGAATAAAGTCTACTGACCTCGTTTTAACTCCGGATGTGAATGGAACATCTACCGAGTGTTCGATTGACGATTCGTCCAAAAACACCCGAATTCCGCTAATATACGAAGCACTGCATACCATGGTGTTTCTGGTCGGCGTCGTTTCCCTTGTGATATTGTACATATTGATAGGAAGACGTGTTCGATTTTTCGCGCAAAAGCACGAGGCTCGGAGAGGTAGCTCCTCTAATAGTCTGGACACCGTAGAACAGCGAAATGAGAGACGACAAACAAGACGGGATAAACTAAGACAGTTACAGAGCGAGGGTTCTTCATCTGACGGTGATTCCAATGTTTCCACTGAGACAAAGTCGTCTGTGGTGAGAAACGGTAAACATAAAATAAGCTTTACTCTGTCCTCTGGTGTGGGGCAAAATACTGTGGACATGAAGCCTGGTGCTTCAGTTCTGAAAAGAAATAACTCGAGCTGTCTGAACGCACCTATTATGGCCAAACAGGCCAAATGTAGGAAGACGCTAGCTCGGAACACGACTTACCTTATGTTTTTAATAACTATTGTGTTTATTTTGAGTTTTGTGCCAGTACTCACTTTAGTGTTAATACGAGAAGTTAAGAAGGATTTCGTGGATAATTTGTCAGACTCGGGGAGAACTGCCTATAGGTTCTTTTTAAGGTCGTATTATATAAACGCCGCCATGAATCCCGTCATTTACTCCATCTTTGACAGACGATTCAGAAAAGCGGTGAAAAGTACAACGAGAGAAATGATTAATAAGTTTCCGTTTTGTAAATCTTAATATATGCATTTTATTTTTTTCCTTTTGTATTGAATTATTTCAACCAAATCCCACAAATTAAACAAAAGTTTCCCTCAATATTTGACTTGCTTTTCTCGATTTCAATTGATTCAAAACCATGTTAATTTTATACACAAGGGTTAGCAATGTTGTTTGCCGATTATTTCATTTTTGCGAAATCATGTTTGGTTATATGTGTATGTATAATTAGATTTCCTTAACTTAACAATATGCATATGGCTAGGGTGTTTCTATCTACTATTTAAGTATTTGTAAATCACTGTCGCCAAATGTACTCAGGTGCCTAATACGGAGTGCGTTCTCTTCTTGATTTCTATATCCAACGCTTTTTAATTTTTTAGGCGACATTCCTGATTTGTATTCTTCGCACTGCTCAGATAATACTTCAATAATAATAGGGTAATACCATCAATATAAACAAATTTCCAAAATATTGTTAAAATCAATGAAATGTCAGGGTTTTGTGGTTGTAGGAACCATTTTGCAAATGTGACTCTTCAACACTATACATTTATTGACATGGTTTGAGGACAAAATGCGTTTTGTTGGACCCAAGAACCAAACTGTTTGCCCGAGGCCGTTAAGGCCATTATACTTTATTTTTGCGGGGACCGAAGCATAAAGTAGCTATTGTTTCAATAATGTACTACGTATCTAGACTTATGTTTACATGCAAAGTCCACTCCTAATTGGAATTTTGCATTTTGTCCCAATAGGTAATGACAATTATTAGCTTTATTTTGAAGCTACAGTTCACTCTTGAAAGCAACAACATTGTAAGCCCTGTTACAGTCTGTATAGCATTTGATAAAAAAAAAAACATAACAGGTATGGCACGCCAAATTCACAAAAATGAGCTAAACATAGTTTCACAGTTGATAAACTAGGTTTATCGACTGTAAACTATAGTTTGCAAACCGTAAACTATAGTTAACAATTCGTTAACTATAGTTTTCATCTGTAAAACTATATTTAACGGTTGTTAACTATAGTTTACGAATGCATATCTAAGTTTATCTGTCTGTAATAAAGCGTTAACAATAGATTTTGTTGATAAACATAGATTCACGTTTGTAAACTATAATTTACAATCGTAAACTATAGTTAAGAGTTGTTAATCATAGTTTCACAAATCGAAACTATATTTATCAGTTAACAGTTAACTATAGTTAAGAGTTGTTAATCATAGTTTCACAAATTTGAAACTATAAGTTAACAGTTAACTATAGTTAAGAGTTGTTCATCATAGTTTCACAAATCGAAACTATATTTATCAGTTAACAGTTAAATATAGTAAAGAGTTGTAAACTATAGTTTACAAATCGTGAAACTGTATTTATCAGAACATTTATGTTTTGCAATCGCAAATGATTGTTTTCGGTATTAAGTATAGTTTACGGTTGTGAAACATAGATTATCGCGTTAACTATAGTTTTACTTTACAGATGTAAAATATAGATTAACTTTGTTAACTATAGTTTACAGTCCGTAAACTATAGTTTACAACCGATAAACCTAGTTTATCGATTGTGAAACTATGATTAGCTCATTTTTGTGAATTTGGCGTGTCATAAACAGGTATAAGTTTCTATATAAAAAGCATATAAACCGATAGGACATGCAATGCTGCACAACTTGCATGCATGTAGAGCTAACAAAATTTGGCTCAATCAAAAACTGATGCATGACACACGAGTAAAAACAATTTTACGCTACTCTCTCTCTCTCTCTCTCTCTCGAGTTTCTTCTAATTTTCGGAATGATCAGAATATTTAGGTTACACAGTTCTGTATAGGCCGTAATATAAAATAATTCTAATGTATCATAAGGGGGACGTACATTGCCTACGTGCATGCTACTGATATACACGTTATCACAAATACAACTGTTTTTGTTTATGTTTCTGTTAACTTGCAGTCCTGCATTTATCATCATGCATTTGTGATCATCGAACGTTGTTAGAACCTTCCGATTTACGCCGCCGCTTTTTGTCGCTCGGAATGCAAAATAAAACATTCCAATGCCACATTTGGCTGTTTGGAAGGTAAATATCGCAACAAAATAAAAAAATGAAAAAAAAATATTTTAAATTTATAAGAATACCTTGCCTTTGGCTGACAAATGCTTATGATATTGCATGAAGTAATACCCGAAATAAGCGACAAAAAGCGGCTACATAAATCGAAGGATTTTACAATGCTCGGATCTGTATCTCTCTGGGGCCGTTTTACAAAAGAACTTACAACTAAGATAAACAAGAGGCCCATGGGCCACAACGCTCACCTGACCACTGTGGCTAGAAAAAAAGTAGAAATTGGTTTTATAATTGAAAAGTTTAAATCCAAAAGTAAATCTTTGACCAGTTATGGTTTTGCTTTTCTTGAGAAGATGATTTTTAAAGAATTTTCCTATATCTTTCTATTTAAAACTTTGGTCGGCCATTGTGGCCCCGCCCTACCCCCAGGGGTCATGAAAACAGATTAGAATCTACACTCTCTGAGGATGCTTCCATATAAATATGATCAATTATGGCTTTGTTATTCTTGAAAAGAAGATTTTTAAAGAATTTTCCTATATATTTCTATGTAAAACTTTGGTCGGCCATTCTGGCCCCGCCCTACCCCCGGGGGTCATGATTTGAACAAACTTGAATCTACACTACCTGAGGATGCTTCCATATAAATATGACCAATCACGGCTTTGTTATTCTTGAGAAGAAGATTTTTAAAGAATTTTCCTATATATTTCTATGTAAAACTTTGGTCGGCCATTTGGCCCCGCCCTACCCCCGGGGGTCATGATTTGAACAAACTTGAATCTACACTACCTGAGGATGCTTCCATATAAATATGACCAATCATGGCTTTGTTATTCTTGAGAAGAAGATTTTTAAAGAATTTTCCTATATATTTCTATGTAAAACTTTGGTCGGCCATTCTGGCCCCGCCCTACCCCCGGGGGTCATGATTTGAACAAACTTGAATCTACACTACCTGAGGATGCTTCCATATAAATATGACTAATCATGGCTTTGTTATTCTTGAGAAGAAGATATTTAAAGAATTTTCCTATATATTTCTATGTAAAACTTTGGTCAGCCATTGTGACCCCGCCCTACCCCCAGGGGTCATGATTTGAACAAACTTGAATCTACACTTCCTGAGGATGTTTCCCCATAAGTTTCATTTTTCCTGACACAGTGGTTCTTGAGAAGAAGATTTTTAAAACATACAACCAAATTTTCATTAATTCCCAATTATCTCCCCTTAAATGAGGGCGTGGCCCTTCATTTGAACAAACTTGAATCCCCTTCACCCAAGGATGCTTTGTGGCAAATTTGGTTGAAATTGGCCCAGCGGTTCTTGGGAAGAAGTCGAAAATGTGAAAAGTTTACGGACAGACAGACAGACAGACGGACGCCGGACAAAATGTGATCAGAAAAGCTCACTTGAGCCTTCGGCTCAGGTGAGCTAAAAACTTAACGTAGATTTACACATTTTACAAAATAATATTTCTGTGTAAAATGCTACCGTAAAAATAACGGGCATTTTTCTAAATTCATTTTAAAAAGTGATTTAAAAAACCTTTTAAGTTAATTTTAAGATCTTTCTAAGTAGCGTTAAATTTTGATAATATCGTAAGTTTTTTTGTGAAAAACTTGCACAAATTGCTCCTTTGTGAAATGGGCCTCTGGTTTGTCTGTTCGAATCTTCTTAAATCAGAGGCCCCAGTTCTACAAGTAATAAATGCCATAAGATGGCGATGGCACTGTATTTTTTTCCTCTGCCATCCAGCAAACACCGTCACCCAAGACGTGTGTCTTTAAAAAAATATACAGAAGTCAGTATTTCATAATTTATTAATAAACTAAACAAAAATATTCATAAATATATGAAATGTTCAAATATTTTTACTGTTTATAATTTGTACTAGTGTATAGTACCCAAGTCCGGTCATGCGCTTTATAATAATGACTTTCAAGTACCATGATATCTTACACACATGATTTTTAAAGTAAACAATTTCCAGAAAAAATTACTACATTTCTTACGAAGAAGTAATTATGCATAATTGTTTGAAACCGGATTGGGGAAACCAGACATATAGTTGTACACAAATCCTCTTAATAATGAGATAATATTGCTGTATTGATGCAGACCGTGTATTCTATAAATATCTTTCATCGCACACAGTTTGAATCAAAGTGTTTTAAAATATAAATAAGAAATGCCTGAAAGACCTTTGGTTGGTCCCTTTTCATTGGAAAGTGGCCGTAAATTATTCTACATTTTTACCCTTCCCGTACAGTTTATCTAAAATTGGTTAAAAATAACTTAAAGGATATTATCGAAAAATGTAAAGGAAAGGCATGTGTAAATATAAATGACATTATAATTCAGTCTATCTCCCTGAATTCACTCCATGACTGGCAAGTTTTATGAGATCTACGATGACTTCATTATGATTTTCCTAATGTAACGCAATGACCAAGAGGCAACGCTTGATGGCAAAATCTCAGGATTCCTGTCACGTGACTAGTGACGTAATTCTTGGATGACTAGTTAATAACACAGTTCCACTGTCTTCCTGACCGATTTTATCGATGATTTACGGCGGTTTTGACATCGGATTCACAGAATCGCGTGAGTGGGAGTGTGGCTTGAGGACTTCTTGCGTTGTCTAGACAGAAGCAGTGTCAAGAGTCGACTCTTGCTTTGAATCCCCTTACCTAAAAATAACAGTTTGAAGTTATAATCTGTGCATATATTTTAATTCAATGTAAACGTTTTTTTTTTTTTAATTTTGTTTAGTTTTACATGGTTTGTGATTTTGTTTTCGATTACATGGTATGTGATTCGAATAATAAAAGAAAACGACAAAGAAATATAAAGGTAAAAACAATGAGGCGTTCTGATTGGCTAAAAGAATATTAAGCACATAATGTCGTCTACCTAATCAAATAACAATAAATAATACTATAACAAGTGATAAAATCTTACAACTATCAATTATTCCTGCTACAGGTATCAATCATCTGGAGTCAAAGGTCAGTTGGTAGAATACGACCTTAAATTCCAAGATATTTTATCCATACTAGTATAACATTTTTACACTGTATAAAACAAGTTGTATTTGATAATATCAATATTAAGCAATTGCTGAGGAGGGAAAAGGCAGGGATGGGGGACTATTGGCAAATCAATGGTTACCAGGATATGTTTTACATGAGTGCTTTTCAAGGTCATGCGAGCTGTAAAGAGTGTGTCGATCTAAGAGAGAACCAAGATACATGGAAAAACAGTATGGACCTATTGAAGCATTCTAAATAATTAAAACATTAAATGAATTGTATAACATAAAATTCATAGATCTAAAAAATTCTGCTTAAACTTTACAGTAACGGAAGTAGTGTAGAAATGTAACCATGGTAACACCAACTATAAAAAGAAAAACACACGAAACTACGTAGTGATTTAAAAGTGGCAGACTGTGCTGTTGTATATATCGTGTCTATCTATGACAATTCTAGCAGTCCCCGTCATGTGGAAATTCAAACTACGACAGAAATTAACAAGTGCTACAGTTCTACCAAAATCTACTTATCTACGCATCTATCAAAGAAAATAAAAAAGGAAACAACGAACAACCAACACCATCGAAAATTTCTGAACCTTTGCAACTCAAACTGGTGTTGGTGAGCGTCTTTTCAGGCGTTCAAGCATAACATTAAGATACTCTCGATGCAGAACGGAAGGAGAAATCTTAGTCAGATCTGTAGTGCCCATGCGCGGACTTCTGAGAGAATTCGTACCCAAAACTCTGTTTATTGCTTCCTCCGTAACTCCACTCTAATGTTAAAAAGATATCTCTGTGTTATGAGCGTCAAATGTATCAATCTGCAAACAAAATCTAAGAATTTTTTAGTTGTCAACAAAAGGTTTTTGAAACTTTTGGAACCCTGTTAAGAAATATAATTTTACAATTCAAAGCGTTAGACACACCACAGACTATTAATAAAAAAAATCCAAAATACCAAGAATGGATATCAGCGCTTAAATCATAATAGTATCAGAAATAAAAAGTTAATAAAGCAAACAAAAGTCCAGGAAACATTTGCAAACCAAAAGATTGTATTGGGATTTAGTTAAATACCTAACACTGATACCTTAGGAATAGTTTCTTCTCCATAAATAGTCTAGGAAAAAAAATTACAACTCAACGCGGTTTTAATAACTACTTTTACCTATAAAATCCTATCCACTCAAACATAGGATTAACATCTAAGGTCTGCTTTCACACATGAAAAAAAAAACCTAATTCGTGCTCAGTTAATATTAAAGTATATACATATACATGTACTGTAAACCAATTTTTATTCGCCAGCGAGAAATATCCACGTTTTGTGACTTTCTTTTATTCACGAATAACCCCATTGTAAACACATCCTTCACCTATGTAATTATGCCTTGTTGCAACAATGTTTTCTTGCCCACAAAATCAGCAGTTGCGGGTGGATTCCAAAATAAGAATCACAAAAATAAAAAAAATTCGCCAACAAAAACTGGTTTACAGTCACTAGCAAACAGTTGAGACTCTCCGATTGATTAACATGTGTGGCACACTTACCAGGGGACCAGGGGTGCGACTGAGGCGGGAACGTTTTTCCAGTTTTGCTGCGTCCATTTCGGAGGAGATGGGCGTGATGCTGTGGGGCAGGAATGGGGACGGAGTCGAAGAACTAGATGGAATATGGCGGGTAAATGACTTCAGGACAGGACCACTTCTGTGTGAGGTATAAAATCAGAATGTTGGCAAGAACTTTACAGTTTTGGTTAAAATTCAATTTTCTTTTCTTTTTTTTTTTTTGCAAGGTATAATGCAATGCTGAGTAATTTGAAGCAACATGCAAGCTTTTAAATAGATACATTCTAGAAGGCAAAATAGCCCTGGTCATGAAATGGTGCCAAATTATCACAGCACATGTACAATGAATACTAACAATCAACATGTATTGTGAATAGGAGTGTTGCAACATTGGGACTTTAAATGTGTGATAATGGTTTTTAAATTACAAAAATTTCTAGAACTGCCATGTATGAACCCCCACTCCCCTTCAATAACTAAACCTCTTGCATAAAAAAATGACACTGCAAATATTGTTCCTGTCATTGGTAATCAACTTTAATATCAATTTTGAAAATATGAGTTTTGTAATAGCACATAAAAGCAACACCTTAG